ATATTAGAGCCCCTGAGGCTGCCATTGTACAATATACAGCACTGATTTAATACATGCTGAATAAATAAGTAAATGGGTAACCTCAAGTATAGTGGTACAGATACTAATAGGTACGGCATAATAAATATGCAATCTTTTTGAATCTCTTAGTTTACAGCAACTAATTTATTCAGTATTGTGCTGGAAGAACATTTTCAGATGATGTAAAACATATCACTATATATACTACCTTCCAGCTACCCGTTTATGCTGCTGTATAGTACGAAAATACCAATGATAGAACAATGTTTGTCCTGTAAATTTAATTTGATATTGGACAGTTATTGTCTGTACAAACTAAAACATATATGGTTGAAACTGTTCATTATATTTGCTATTTCTGCTCCACAGATCTGTTTTAAAGTTGGGCTGATTGATCTGGCTTTGTCTTCCATTGTAAATATTGTTCTGTTGTTTTCTTTGTAAAACACATCGCGTTTGCGGTTTTGGGAGACTGGCTTGAAGCTCTGTATAGTGTTTATATTTATCTGACTTGGCTTTCCATAGAGCTACTTGCAGTAAATACGTGTTCATGTAGCTCCGTGTCTGCGTTTTATTTTTAAACAAACTTTTGGTTTTTCTGTCAGACCTCCTGCTGCAGCTGCTTCTCCTGAAAGTAGTTTTGTCACCCTGGATCCCTGAGGATTTGGAGAGGTTTTAGCACTGGTTCAAGGTAGTAATTCCCCATCTCTCCAGTTTTCTTTGCCTTTTCACTTAGTTTAGAAGTTAAGACACAGAAAAACACCCAGAAATTTTCTTTGCCATGGATTCATACTGCCTGTAAACAATTTTGCTTTGGCGTGAAAACAACAACAGCAAAATATATATATAAAATCAGTGACCAATACATCTTCTGCTTTAAAGTAGAAGGCATGAACAAAAAATTGCCACAAACTTCGTCCATGACTGGATAGGGAAATCTCATGATCAAAAAGTATTGGTCCTCAAAGAAATTTTCAGCAATACACTATCAAATAGAGGCCTGACTTTGGGGCAGGAGGCAACAGGTATGTTTTGGTGTTGTATCTTTTGCAGTGACATTTTGCTTTTAAAGATACACTAAATAGGTCTCAATATGTGAAACCCAAACACAAATAGATAATCTCATCACTTCACGTAATGCACCCACTTATAAAAGCAACTGAAGTCAGAAAATACCAATAAAAGGTAGTGCCTTCAGATTCCTTACTGACATGAAGGAAATGGCAAATTATGTTCTACAGCAAGAGACTTTTATCCATAGATGGGAATGTATATGATCTCCATAGATGTGGGTGATTACTGTGAAATATGTTGGATGAGACCTTTCTTTAAAATTCCCCAAATTAATTCTTACCCTGTTACTCAGAATAGTACATTGAAACAACTCCCTGGAAAGGTCAGCTTTGCTTTAAGAATTGGGTTTTCCTCAAATAAACCAGTCTTTTCCTTAGGGCCCCTTTGCATAGTGTGGAGCCTGTATTGGGAGGGAAAAGAGAATAGCACTGCTCAATTACAGCAAAAGAGCCCTACCAGCAGTGCAAACAAACAGTGACAATTATCCAAACTCTGTCCAGACTGTTGTGACAGTGTCACAGTAAGTGCTGCAAACTGCCTTTGACTGATTGGATTTGAAATGGGCCAACTGCTGGAGGGTTGTGGCATTTTTTTAATGTGGGGAGACAATTTTATACTGATTTTTCAAGCCCCTTTGGGTGCCTGAGCTCTCTTGTATCTGAAGGATACTGAAAGCTGTCAGCTAAAGCCAAAAGGAAAGATAGAATTCCTGATTTAATCCAAAGACAGTCACTAGAATATATCTTAAAAGTCTTTGGAAATGCATTGCCCAATTCTCATGGCCTGTGCATCTCCCTGAGCTCTGTGGTACTGGAGATAACCAAATACTGGAGAGTCAGTGATTCACAGCACTGGAAGAAGGACCTTGTTAGAGGTACCAGGTATCAATACAATCTGTATTGCATTGTTTTTTATCCCTGCATCCTCTTTTGGCTATAACAACAGTGATTCCTTAAATATATGTAGAAGTTTCTCCCCTCCTTTGTCCATGCAGAGCTGTAGGAGAGCAGGAGCTCTGAGCTTGCTTTGCGTGTCTGAAGATAGAAACTTCTCCCCCTCATCCCCTTTTGCTAAAGAAACACACCAAGTTTTGGTTACTTTGGTTTCTTCAGAGTTAATTTCCAACTTTTTCAAGCAGCATTATGGTTACAACCTGAGTGTGAGGCAAGAGCTCAGCAGGCACCAAACTGCTGTTGGCAGAGCAGCCTCAGCCCGCAGAGCCCTTTGTAGGGACAGCAGGTGTCTGCTGCTGCCCAGTTATTGTCACCTTGGCTGAGGCTGTCCTCAGGCACTGCTCACCTGGCTGCTGCAAAGGAGTAGAGTTAATAATCTTTCTTTCCAAAGCTTGGGAGCTCTAGATACTTACCCTACATTTTAAATGTAGAACACTTACTGCTCCCCTGAGCTAATCACTGCCTCTGTGTCCCATTAGCAAGTGTCCTGCTTTTTTCCACTGGACTAACCTGGAAAGACAAAATTATTCCAGTCTCTTGTGCGGCTTTCAGCTTGTGCTTCTACTGAAGTAGCCATGGCAGCAGAAGTATTTTGTGTCCAGCAGAGCTGGGTTATCTGAAGCACAACTTTTCTGGGAAGGACCTGTTGAAAACACATAATGCTGCTACAGTCCTGAATCTGGCTCAAGAGCCCTCCCTCAGGTGTGTCCCAAGGATGGTGCAGCAGCACAGTTCAGGCAGCAGGCTGACTACAAAAGTACTGCAGCTGGGTATCAAAGGATATAGAAAATAGTTGCAGACCATCAGATTTTAGAACTTGAGCATTGTTGCTTGCAAAATCAGTATGTTGTTTTTTTTCAAGTTGTATAATTACTTTTTAAAATAGATCCTTCCTGCACCCTCTGTTGGAAATGGTCACTGGAGAGGAATTGACTTACACAGCAGAGGACAAAATGCTGCAGACTTGAGAGCTTCTGCAGCACAACACTTGTGTGTGACATCTAGTTCAGGGTACAGAAGAGCTGCTGCACTGCCCTGTGTGCCCAATGAGGTTGTCCTCAGACTGCAAAAGTGTTTAAGAAATTTAAATCCCACCCTAGGAATGAATATGATGTCTATGTAAGCTTTTTCCTCATTGTAACACGATTTCTAGAGGGACTGAAAGTCTCTGCCTGAAGCAGAACATTTATTTTTTTAACATTAGAACAGTGTAAATCCAGCCTAGGCACAAGATTGCTGAATGCTGGTTTTAGGATTAAAACTAGTATTCCTTTAGAAAAATTGCACTTTTTCACTCATCATTCTGGTTGCAATTCACAGTTCCCCACTGCAGGACAAGAGCCTGTGTAGTGGGCAAGAAAGGGTGAGGACCCCCCTCCTGCCAAGCTTTTCTGCAGTGCTCCCTCCTCCAGGCAGGGCCAGCCCTGGCAGTGCTGCTGTCACAGCCACACGGTGCCCTCGAGTGGCTGCAGCATGTCCCCAACAGCTCAGACCTGCCAGCTGCCTGCTGAGATTAACTAAAATAGCCCAAATCTACAGGATTAGTTATGAAAATAAAAACTTGCAAAAACATACCAGACAGCAGGAAAAGAGCCTTAACTGGAGCTGAAGTGGTGTCCAGAGCTGCACTGTGTTTAGGTGGTGTTGAAAACTGTTGTAACGATCCAATGGCCAAAGCACCGTTTTCCTTTTTTAATAATAAAGCTGCAAACACAAACTTTTACCTGTAGTTTAATGTTTATATAGTGATGGATAGCACCTAGAGGCCCCAACCAACATTTGAGCCCCCTCAATGTCTCTGCCCCAAGGAGCTTACAGTCTAAGCATCAAGAAGCAGAAGAGAATAATAACCTTGTTCTCTTTTATAGATCAGTAACTCCGATCCAACACAGGTCAAGTGATTTACCTGCTCTAAGGCACAGAAGGTGTGGTGAGAATTAACCCAACATCTCTTGAATCTCTGCTGCAGATCTCAAAATAAAAGATGTTCCTTCATGTCTAGACCACTTACTTAGGTCACCCTTTTGGAATTCTGTGCCTGAAGCTCATTAAGGTTCAGGACTCCTGTCCAGGTCAAGGTCAGAGCTGCAGGAACAGAAGAGAAAACAGAGCTGTCACAAGCACAGCTGCTTTACATACTTCACTTTTCTCTGGTCATCTCACAGCTTTGGGCCCTGAAGCTGCCACAAGACCAGCAGGTCTGGGTGCTCTGTACCCTTAGGATGTCCTGTCTTGGTTTTACCTGCTGCAAGAGAAGCCCAGATCTTACAAAGAAGCTACCAGTTATACACTGGTTTACTAAACATGGTCCACTCTATTCCATGTCCCCACATTTAAACACTTTGTGTTGGTAAACACAAGATGGGGTGTTGGTAGGGAGAGCTGGGAGAGCCCTTTCCTTTGAGAGCTCCTTGGCCTTAGCATCCACTTTTCTGCTGTTTTAGGAATAAGGATTGGCTGCTATGTTCATTTTAGACTTCTGCAGAGCCAGCAGCAAGATAAGGGCTTGTGTTTACATGAAGAGACTATTTTATTTCAGCTTTGGTAACAAGTTCCTGACTTGGAGGTAGCAGCAGTTCAGTTTATTACTACGTGCATCAGCAAACCAAACTAAACTGAGCTGAAAGATACACATTGCTGAATTCCCACTCTCTACCAACAGATATAACTGCAGCTAATGGAAAAAAGACAAAGCTATTATTATTTTGCACTTTAAACTAAAGAACTTCAGTTTCATACTCAGTTGAAAGCTTTAGAAATCAGCACCAATCTCATTGTATATCACTGCCACCTGCTCAGTCACCAGTCCTATGTCTTTTGTCAAATGTGTAAAACAAGGAGATGTCAGATGCTCCGTGTTTACAGGGACAACTGGAAGGTAAGAACAGCCATTAGCAGATAAATTACTTAACAGTATTCAATAAACAAATACACATCACCTGTAGAGAGCAGAATGTTAATTCACAAGTTAGGTTGTATTGATAGTCGAGGTGGCAATATACAATGAAAATATGAAGGTATTGTCACTTGACAGAGTCCTGCATTGTCAGGGAGCTGTTTATACACGAGGGTAAATGAAACGCTCTGACCATAGAAGCTGAACAGTCATGCATACAAAAGTGATCACTTTTCAGCTATTGCACAAGTAGTGACACTCTTTAGACATACATAGGAGGATTCTTACAAACTGACATCAGAAAGACTGCATGCACCATCTTTCAAGGCCTTATGTGAACTATACATACACAGGAGTTGCTGTATACTGTGAATACATTGTGGATGTGTATAAATTCACATAAGATTAAAAGATAAATATGTAAATAGGAAGGTTTCCACCAGCTTATGCTTTATTTTATTCAGAAGGTTTCTTAGTGTGTATACTATTCTGGATAAAACATATGACACCACTTCAGAGGTGAAGTTTCATGTAAGCATCACCCTAAATGCTTTGGTAACTGGATATTCCCAAAGGACAGGTTTGGTTAAACCAAACTGATTACTAAAATGTGAATGTGACTTGTATTCTTAAAAGAAGGATATAGAATATGGCTAATAATTTCACATATTTTCACCAGATAAAAAACCCCTTTTTAAGTGGATTGGGTTTTCTAAGCACAAATAAAACCACTGCTAGTATGGTGTACAACATTTAAAACCCTGATCAAAATTACTTCAGAATAATTGTGCATTCCCCAAATATATCAGGTTGGCAAGTGAGAAGGAAATGAAAAATTAAATGAATAAATTGGCATAAGAGGGGTAAATTCTCTCTGTACCACAAGTTTCATAATAAAATACTGTCTTATCTTTTAATTTTAGACATAAGGATTTTTTATCAGTCTGGTTTGTTTCTAGATGACTGAAAGTTTAGATTAAAAAGGTGTTTACACAATATACACATTTCATTACTTACAAAGAGAAATAAGCTTAAAATTTCATATTAAAAATACAGTAGGGTTAGTAGCACCATGAAAAATGTTTTTCAAAACTGCAGTCTTGTTATTTTAAACATACTCAGTGCGTCGTGTTCTTCTCAATTCTCTTGGTTGATCAAAAAGGTGCCATTTTGGTACAGGGAGAGAAATGAAAAAATTCATCTTCTGATCCTTGGTGAACCTCAAGTGTTCTTTTCTGTTTCCAAGAGGTCAATTCTTTCATCTTAGTCCTGTTGTCAAATAGATACTGAACAACCCTTAGTTTGGCACATGAGTGAGGTACACTTGAATTTGCATGGTAAAAACAGTTTGGATTTGTTTTTTCTTTTCTTTCTGCACAGTAGCACCATTGTTGCAGCTGGAAGACAGTGCATCTTAGGAATTTTCAATTGTTTTATAAAACATTCTCCAAGATGTTACGTCTTCTTCATGCAAACTTGACAACGACTAATCCGCGTCCTCAAGTCTCCAGCTTTCAGTGTCTCAGACTGAGGTTTGCTGGTTGACAGACACAAAGGAAAGGTTGCATTAGGTTTTTCTTTGTTTACAGTTCAACTTCCACTGAATTCACTGTTTCATTTAAAACTGACGTATGTGAGCAGGGAATGAATCCTGAATTGGCGAGTTTTTCTAAGAGGGCTCATTCAGTCTGTTGCCAGCAGCAGGTGACAGATGCTCAATTGTGTCAGTGTCCCCAAGGTATGCTAAGCACTGTTTCAGTCTGGCAGATGATGGAGCACAAACACAACCCAAGGGGAAGGTGAACTGTGTACATTTAAGACTGTATGTGGGTCTGTTTCTGGCCTTTAGTTGAAGGGTACTTTAACAACACACCAAAAGTACTGCTACAATCAGAACTGCATTTAAGTGGTAGCTTTACCAAATAATTTATTTTTATTTTGAAAGGCTAACAAGGTGGGAGATTAATGCAATTAGTGTAATATGTGTGCACACAAGCCAAATGCTTAAAAGTTTCTTTAAAAAACAGAATGAAGAAGGAAGTTGTTTTAATGGGAGGGACAAAACATTAAAGGCAAATATCAAGGGTGCATGGCAGTTACCAATAGGAAATTTTCACTGGTGAATTACCAATAATCAGCTACCCAGAAAACTGAAGAGTGATGAATTATCATGTCAAGTACCCTCCCTGATTGTAGGTGTTACACAAAACCAACTTAGGGGCCCCCACTGCTCAGAGCATAGTGCCAGCCCTGTGCCACAAAGCTACACTTTTCAATTAGGTGGCAGTGGGAATATTAAAGAGTTTTGTATCAGCACACAAACAGGGCAGTAGCTATTTATTCTATGAAAAGAGATGATTCTTCATTGAAGAAACGATTTGCTACTCAACTTGAAAGGGAAAAAGTTGGAGGAACTGAGAAACTCCAGCTGAAATGCTGACTGCAAAGAAGCTGAGGACACAATGGCCACTGGCTTCCTTGTAGCCAAAATATCATCCTGTTTCCTTCTGCAATGTGTGGAAGAAATGCTGGCCATGGAGGGTAGGAAACCTTCTTCATGTAAGATTTTTAAAAACAAGTCATATGAACCTCTGCCTCAAAAGATTTAAGTAGAGTTGATCTTGCCCTTCACTCCTATCCCTTGTATATCTGTGAATCACCTTTCAAAATATTTGGATTTATTGAAAGGTTTGGCAAGAAAAAAATCAAAATTTTTTTTGGGCTCCAAATATAGTAAACACAGTAGGACTACTTTCAGAGGAGGTACTACAACAAAATGAGAGCTCACACAAAAAGAATCTGGCTCCTTGCAAAACAGAATGTGCCCTAGCAAGTTTTCACAGAATATTAAAGGCTTACCAAAGAAACACTTGAAAAACTGGTTGTGAGGGGGAAAACAAGCTAAGTTATTTCCCTATATCCCTATAAACAAATATCTTTTGATCTTTGGAATAAATTCAGTTTCAAAAGCATTCATTCTGGAATAAAGCAATAGACAAGAAACAGGTTTTCTTACCTGAACATTTCTGACACCTCTACAGTTGCCAGCCAGAAGCTGTAGGAATTAGCATAGTAATTGCAGGTGCCCCGGCCATGGCATTCGATGAACGGCGCTGAGCGGAACTCTTCCAAACAGGAGCCAGGAGAGGCCAAGGCCTGCCCAGAGCCCTCTGCTCCAGCACTTGTGTGCTAGTGGAGGGAAGAAGGACACAAACAAGGATCTTAGGTGTTAAAAACTGAATAGCACAGCAGTCAGCTACTGTTCATTTTTGGCAGAGATAGTGTGGCGTCAGACACCTCCATAAACGTCAGTGACACCAGGATCTGTGTGCTGTCAGTCCTGGCTACCTTGGTTAGGGGCTGACGGTAAAATGCCAACCCTTGCAGTACTTATCAGTGTCCTAAAGCAGCTGAGGACACAGGTGGGCAGGCAGTAGCTGCTTCTGGAGTAGGAGGCAGTTCTTACCATCATGAAAGAATAACCAATCCAGAGGGAGTCCCAGCCTGGAGGACATGAAGGGATCTGAATGGTCTGGCTGTGGACAGCTATCACCATAGCAGGAGCTTCACACACAACACATCTGGACACAGGGGAATACCAGAGAAACACGTGATGTTAAAATATAATAGGAGTATGTTTTATTAAGAATTCTTACATTGAAAAAGGGAACAAAACTCACCTATTAACCCAGACTTCTATTTCTCACATATTTTTTAACTGCAATAAGAGTAGTTTGGAGCTCAAATCTGTCTGTGTTTTCACTACATTGGGTAAAATACTGAAGCAGTCCCTGAAACAAAAACTGGAAGCTCAAAGTCCCCAGGTGAGTGCCTTAATCCTAAAGTCAGCGGCTTCCAAGTTCTCTTTCCTCTCCACAGTGATCTCACACTGTTGACTACAGAGATTGCTTGATTGAGAAAAGCTGTACAGCCTCTTATCACTGCTGCAGGGAAATGAACCTCTGCAGACAATGAATACTTAAAAAACCCCTATTTTTCTAGTCTCTCCCAGAACAAAACATGACAGATTTATCTGTTAATTCCCAAGGTGCATGTTGGAAACACGTGGGGTAAGATATACTATTTCTCAGGTACTAAACCAGCTGCTGGCCTGCTGTGCCTCACCGGCTGATGAAGGGCTGGATGCTTGGCCCAGTGAGTGGCTCCATGCTCATCGGCATCGACTCGGGGGTTGACAGCCAGTAGGAGTAGTCATTCCTTGATGCAAAGTTACAAACATTGTTGATGTTGCAGAACATGAAGGGCATGGTGCTGAAACGTCTAAGACAGCTCCCAGCAGTACCTACAGAGTAAGACACATAAGACAGCAAAGTTTTCACTTCATTGCTTTTTATAGCAATTCTTTGAGAGCAGTACTTGTGGATCCTTCCTCTCCCTCCTGTGAGTGCACAGCAAGGGCCATCAAATTGTCATAGGGAAAAAAACTTCATTTTGGTTTACATTCCTTCATCCTGAATTACAATGTGCATCCTCTGGAGACAGCAGATCTCAGCATGCAATCCCCATCCTCCTCTAGAAATCTCCAAGGCTGCTCTGTCTTCAAAGAACCCAAGCACTCGAAGAAGCAGCTACAGCACGTTTCCTCTTAAAGAGAGAGCATACAGAATATCTCACCCAAATCCTGGCCATGTGCTCTCTCATTTCCTTGCACATACAGAAGAGAGAATCCATCATATATTCTTGCTGTTCCCTGTGGACATAGTGGTGTATCCCTGGTCTGACTGTGCCGAGTTATAAGGAATCCATGAGCAACAGAAGCTGTTCCAGGAGGACCAGGTGGGCCTTGTAAACCATCAGGACCAGGAGGTCCTTGTACTCCTCGTGACCCTGTTCACAGGAGATAAACACAACACACAGTGTTGATTAACACCACTGCTTGCTCTTTTAGGACCAACACATCTCTGGAAGGTTGTTGGTCTCATGATTTTCTGTTTTAGGGCACCTGGTATTTCCTAACACACTGTCTTCCTGGATTTTTTTTTTTTTTTTAATTTAAGCTTGGTTGAATCAGGGAGGTTGTCATAGGTGGTTGTAACAGTGCAACTTCTCTGTTTTGTAGGGGCATTGTGAAGCTAAATACTCTCAGGGTTGTCAGGCATTATAATAACTGCAGAAAACACGGCAGCTGCTGGAATGACTTCAGTCAGCTCCCCACTTCCAAAACATAACTGTGCATGCAGCTTAAGATAATGTTGAAATAGAGATCAAGATCACAAAATAAATCACAGAGCCAGAAACAGGGGCAAGTCTTACTCCAGGCCATGCTGTGGTAACACCTGAGCCAAAGCTCATCAAAATGAAAAACTGCTGCCAATTTTGGAATAGGTTACTAAAAGTGGAAATAAGCTAGAACAGCCTTGAATGTGAGCAAAAATGAGTAATATAACTGATAAATGTATAAGAAAAGGCTGTTCTTGAACAGCAATATCAGGAAATATAACAACAGATATTTAGACTGTGTTATTCTGCAGTCATTATTTACATATTTTTACTAAAATAATGCTAACATTTCATAGAGCTGCTCAGACAAAAAGGAAAAAGAGGTGTTATGGATTTTTGTATTCTTTTCAACTGCTTTAATTCTAATATTTTTTCTCACAAGTTGCAATAGAGAGCTACTTAATATCTATTACCTTTAGAAAATTTTCCCAGTGCCTTGTCTGATTTCTCAAATCCTAGTTCAGTAGTTCTATGCAATACCTAAATGGCAGTCCAATGTCTGACTTTAGTGAAACACTTTTATGAAGCCAATTTTCCCCATTCATAATTTCCATGCAAAATAAGCATTATTTTACTCATCTCTCTTCGCTTTCTTACAATCTTCATTATCTCCTCTGCATCAGCTGTGCTACAAAGGGGATGCCATTAAGCTTGAGGTAAAGCACTTGACAATGTTCAGCAATGACCAGCAATATGCTGGTGCTGAAAATATTCCAAATCAAAGTATGTTCAGGTGTTTGTAATATTTTTGCATTAGGAAAATCCTGAAATTATGATTTTATCATTATTCCCATGAAGCAAAGATATTACTTCCCAGTATTAGCCTCCATTCAGAAATGGGACTCTTTTTCCAGCGAGTCCTCATAGCATCAGCACCCTACCTGGTTGGCCTGGATGACCTCTCTCTCCTTTTCGTCCTGCTGGACCATCAAAACCAGGAAGTCCATCTCTCCCTGGGTCACCAGGAAGACCAATTGGACCTGGAACACACAAAAGCATAACTGAAATAAAAGCGCTTGAAATCTCACTACAGAAATCTTCAAGTTGTCAATGACTCATCTGCTGCTTCTTTCTGACTCAAGAGAAGAACAGCCCATTAAACCAGATGTATATGGTGGAATCCTGTGTTTATCTGTTAACCTGCATTTCTCTCTTGTCCCTTGCTGAGCTCAGTAACTCATCTCTGCAGCCTGTGCCATGTCACTGGCACTGCCACCTGCACTCAGACACATTTCTGACCATGTCCTCTGCAGCCACCTTGGACCATACCTGGCAATCCCTGTGGCCCTGGCAATCCAGGTGGCCCTTTGGAGCCAGGCTGTCCTGGAGGACCTGGGGAACCAGGATCACCTTTGACAACAATGCTTCGTCCAATGGTACCTGGTAAACCTGGCGGACCTGAGAGAACGAATATTGGTATTAGAGAAACTGAGGTGGAAGACAGCATTAGAAACAGTTTCTTTATTTCAAAATAAAGCCAAGAGCTCCATCATTGCAAGAAAGAATAAGTGTATATATATGACAAAAAGGTAATCTTGGTGACTCCCCCCCCAAGGAGTTAATCCATATAGACTGGATACAGAGTATGAAACACATTAGAATTACTTGTAGGGGCTAAAAAGTACAGGTTGGAATTATGCTGAAGATCTTGCTCACTCACTTTGCTGGCTGAGACCGAGTCATCTGTGTAACAAATTCTACTGACAGGGAGCAAAAGTGACAGTGCCACTACCCTGGACTCCTACCTGGTGGGCCTGGCAGTCCCTGGCTGCCCGTGAGGCCAGCGGGTCCTGCAGGTCCAGTGGGACCCTTCATACCTGAAACATCAAATTCACACAGTTACCCAGTGAAAGAACATGCTGTTCTACAAAGTCTGCTGCAGGAATGGCCTAAACAGGCTGTTACTGTGTCTAGAGGTTTTGCTCAGAATGCTGGTTAAATACCTGGGAATAGCCAGTGAAATACCTGGGAATCCTGGAACGCCTGGAACCCCGGGGTCACCCTTCATTCCATTCAGACCTGGACGCCCAGGATCCCCCTGAAGAGAAGAGCCTCACATTATTCCCTCATCTCAGCAGCTCCAGAGAACCAGGATGGAACAGGTGGCTGGGGACAACAAAGCCCACTGGGGGCTGTGGAGGGCTGAGGCCATGAGGCAGTGAGAGAGGGAACACGAGGCTGCATGGACAGCTCCAGCTCCCATGGGAATACAGCACGGACATCCTGCCTCAATACTGGGGGACAGCTGAGGAAAAGATCCTCTGCCTTGCTACAAGACAGGGTGTTAGCTACCACATTTTGGCTTTTATTATGTTAAACTGCATGTTCCACCAAAATATATTCCATTTTTATTGGATTTAAAAATTAGCTAGGGGAAAACTCCATTTCTTGTCCTACCTGGCGTCCAGGTGGTCCTTGATCTCCCTTTGGACCAGTCAGGCCAGGTGGACCAGGTGGACCTGGGTTCCCTTTTTCCCCTTTAAGTCCTCCACTGCCTGGTGGTCCTCGTGGACCTTCTGGGCCTGGTGGACCTTAACATTGCAGAACAAATATGCACACATCAGTATATATCATAAATTTTCCCCAAGTTTGTGCCTTCAGTGTTTAAAACAAAAAAGATATTTTGGCTTAATTTCCCAGCTTTATTTCAGTGCTAAATTCAGGGTAAACTAGAAGGAAAACAAGTAAGAGGAATTATTTGCACTACCCAACTCAGGAACCAAGGCCCCTTATCTAGCTGATGAAGCAGGTCTTTCCAGAAGGCAGTGCAGCTCACCTGCATTAGCAGCTTACTGGTGACCAGCCCAGTGCCTTTACCAGGAGCCAAGAAACCCAAAATTAGATGGTACAAATATCCTCTCTGCTGACCTGCATTACATTCACCATGTCTTAAGTGCTTCTTAACAGCCTGAATTGCTTTTGTAAGCTAGTCTCAACACTAGCACAGCACAGTGCTGCTTTCTTGTTAGAATTTGACATACCTATTAAGGAGCACACGTGTGCTGTCTCCTGACTGCTGGGCAGCAAGAAGCTTGTCATTCTGCCTTGCCTACATAACATGAGCTGCAGAAACTTCCTTATGTTGAATGACTCTCTCTGCAACTGATTGTTTTAATCTTTAGTAGACTTACACTGTGTAAATCTAATAGAGAAACTGGGCTGGTCTATAAATATTTTGCCTTTGTTACAGCTAGATTAATCAAAAACAAAGCAGTGGGTATAAAAGAAACTTTGATATCTGGAGAACTCAAAGATGAGACCTCCACCTTTGTCCCACCATCTAAATGGAAGGTAACCAGTATAATTTTTGTGGCAAAATAAACCATAAGCAAGTGCAGAACAGCTAATAACATTTTACAAGTTAGAGCTCATAACTGCATTAACAAAAGGATTTTTTTGCAGGACAGTGCTATGACATTCTCTCATGTAGTACAAATCTAACATTTATCAGTGTGCTGGATTTTCAGTACTTCTCAACTTTGAATCTCCTTTGACATCCTCATAGTCTATAACCAATGGATAAATTTGATGATTTGTGTTTCTGCATGCAAATTTGAGTATAGAATTCCTTCCCTTTTAAAATCAACAGCAGTTTTGTACCATATTTCACACATATCCTGTAGCAGTTTCAGCTACAGAAAACATCCCACCATGAGAGGATTTTTTTGTGTTTATTTTGCTCTTTCATAGTGGTCTGGTACTGTACACATGCAAAAAATACCAGGTTACCATCTGGGGCATGCTAATCAAACACACACGGTCTGCAGAGTAACCACAGCCCTTAAAAAGACAATCACAGAGTTACAGAAAACATCTGTTTCTCTTACATCAAGTGCAATGCAGTAAAAGAAATTGCCCGAGTTAAGAATCTAACCTGGAGGCCCTGGAAGGATCAGAGTTCACCAAAGCCCAATGATCGATGTTAGAAGGGTCAGACATCACAGTACAAAACAAGATTACTAGTTAGAAATAGTACAGATGACAGCATATACACTACACAACAACCCACTTCACCAACGTATTTTGTATTTACAGTATAATCCACATGCATGCATAAAACCACACATGAATACACAAACAGGTATTTCAGATACTAGTTATTCTGGTGACTAGGCTCTACTGAAACTAATTTGACACTTCATTTAACAGCAAACTTAAAGCTTCACTGAAGAACATATAATTGCTTTAACATTACAGCTAAGGCCTATAAATGGTTAGTCCTGCTCACAACAGGGTTTGGACTATGCAACCATTTCACTGACAATAGTCTCAGAGCCTGGAGCTTGGCAAATAGGAAAATTGTGAATTATAGCTCACTCTTGTGCAAAATTCTGCTTTGGGCAGAGGGGAAGTGTGACTAACAGAAGGACTTATCACTACTAATCAGGTATGAGCCTCAACTATCTGTGAATACAATTCCAGGACTGAAAAGTAGGCTTATGCCCTCTGTGAAACTTTAAGCAGGATTGACATGAATCAACAGGGCTGCAAATGCTGTAAGCAAAAACACAGCAGAACTTGCAAATTTAGAGTTTGTTGTCTTTACTGTTGGCATTATTTTATCTTGATAAAAATATATCAAGATGCTAATTTACCTGCTCAAGGTTATATGGAGAATGGCATGTGATAACATCCTTAGAAAAATGATTTAAATGTCCTCTCTCAAAAGATAAGCTGGTTGTCCCTACAATGCTCCTAAGTTAATATATATTTTAGCTCCTGTGCCACTTGCATATTTCATGTCAGTGAAATGATTTCAATATATCAACATATCACCATGCAATTTGCAGCTAAAAACTACAATAAATATACAGGTTTATCTCACAGCACTATTTCTTACATATCTGGTAAATTATTTTAAATATTAACTGTAATACAGTTGTTAAAAATAATGACATGGACATTTCATTGTTACTGCTAAGTACTTATAAACTATATTTCACTGATAGGTAAGTTTTGCTATGATTTATAAATCAGTCCCACACATGTTCATCACTGAATTCTGGCTGATCACAGTCACAGGGTGGAACAAAACTTGATGCAATTGCTCAGTTCCTCTCAGCACCCCATGATGGCGGCTCTCTTTGAAAGCGTGGTTACTGCTTGAGTGACCACAGTAAAATTAAAAGGTAAAGCCACATTTCCTTTTTTTGACATGGCTGCATAAAGATAGGATTCAAACATCAGGGGCTACCAAATTTGCTACCTTGTGGTGCTCAGGACAGCAGGCTGAAAACTAAAATGTATTCCTTTATTGAATTTTCATGACAGTTCTTTGCTGCCTGAAAGTCATCATAGCAAAACCTAAAGACATCATTATTATTAAATAGATATACCAAGTCATTTTCAGTCTAGACACAGATGTGAAAATCTTCCCAAGTGCCAGTTTGTGCTCCATGTTGATACACTAAGGTTACAATAAATGTCTCAGTAATGTTCTCACCAATTGTATCCCACTGCCCTAGGGCCAGGGAGGACATGGCTGTGAGCTTTATTTTCATTAAATACTTGTGGAAGGAAGAACTTTCCTCATTTCCTCTAAATGGGCTACTGAAGTGAAACAATGGAAATAAGGATTTCTCTGCACTGCAAACTTAAAAGGCTTTAAGTTGGGAATCTAAAGCATCACTGTTAGTCTATATAAATTTTCCTACCAATACTGCTGGTATAAAAGAAGCATCTAATTTATTTAAGTCACTTGAGAGTGTCCAAAATCAACAGTAGCAGGTGCTACAAAAATTACTACTGTCACTTGCCCAAGCTGCAACACACAATTATGCAGCAAGTCATGGGAGGACAGTGCAACGTGCTTTTTAAAAAAAAGCTGAAAATCAGAATATATTGTTTCCAACTGCACTGAGGGAAAAAAAATGCTAAAAACAAGTTTTGCAGCTGGGGACACTTTATAAAAGCCTTGCAAATCTAGACTCACATGGTCTTCCACCATGGGCAGAGCAACTGTGTCCTTCCAATGTCAGTCCCACAACAACATGGAAGAGAGGGCTGAAAGCCAACTTTGAGCATTTTTTTCCCACCACAAATTAAAAGGTATGTCTGAAACATGACTCTGCATATCTACATTTAGACACTACAAAAGTAGTACATTCATTTTCATGCAAAGTTATTATTTTGGCGTTATGGGGCTAACCTGAGGGACCTGGGAGTAGGGGGTCAGAATTCACCAAGGTCATCATTAGAACAAGGGGAAAAACATCAAAATTGTTAGAAATATCAACAAACTAACATATTCAACTAAACCTTTCTTTTTAGATTTAGCTCAATATTCCTTTACATACAGTGTGCAAAACACCAAACTATTATTATTCATAGCAAGGAAAACAGACATGTGGAGTAACAGCAGTGTGCTGTTGCCCTGGAAATTGGCTTAATTTCATAGTGAATTATTAAATCTATGCCAACACCATCTATCAATGTTTATTTTAGGGGTAACTCAACTGGAGTCAGAGAGCTACATCATGTTTGACTTCATCTCTTTTACTAATCTTAGAATATACCCAGAAGTCAACAACAAACAGTGCACGCAAACAGATTCTGGTTTTATTTCTGTCCCTGGAAGGGGTAATTTGACAGCCACACAGCTGCTTTTATGAGTAACTGCCTTATGTTGAATGTTACAAAATCAGCATTCCAACAATAGACTCTGTTACCATCAGAAACAAAAGGCTGGAGTGCTGATTGTACCAGAACTGCAATAATAGTTTGGTTTATCCACATTAGTTCACACATAACTGAGCAAAACAAATGCTTCACTTTATACATTGCATGCAACAAAAATGGAAATAAGAGAAAGAAAGAGAAAAAGAGAGAGAACATGGCTGAGCAGAACCTCACTGGTTGTTTCCCCTGCTGATAAACCTGCACAAAATGAGTCCCACCATTGCTCCACCTTCCCAGCTGATCAGAATCAGTAAACACTTGGTTTAGGGAGGGAAGTGTGAACAGATGAGCAGCTCCATAAAATCCCAATGCCACAGCAGAGCAGAGATCTCACTTGGTACTTCTATTATACCTCAGAGGTTGCTTAGCCTGGTGTACTCTTAAAGACTTCTTTAAAGTTTGGAGATATCCTCTGTATAAGAAACTTTTAAAAATGAAAGCCTTTACTGTTACAGACCAATCACTGTCCTGAGCCAAAATTTTAATTGCTGCACTACCCTATACACAGAAGAATTAACAGAAACTCCAAAGCAAACTGGGGCTACGAACATGCTGCAGGGATGCTCCAGTGCCTGGTTAGAGCCCCTGGGACACAGCAGGGAACAGTTAGTTCCTCCAGGAAAAGGGGGGAAGGCATGCACTCCTCATTCTACCAACCAAATAGGAAACCAGGGAGACATTGGGACTGGCTGAGGATCATTAACCCACAGGGTAGTTGTCCCTCATCAGTCCCACACAAAGCAGGTTTAGGATGAAACACAACGGAAGTATTTTTACTGGCACTAAAAGAAAACCTCATTGTACTGGCAAACATCACCCAGTTCTAAGGTGCTATAAATTGAACCAATGTTTATAATGACTCATTTTTTAAATACACAGTTAGGGTATATGAGTTCATAGCCTACTCTGCAAAAGAAAAACTCATATTGCCATTGATAATAACACATGATTCAATCCCAGCTCTAGGGAAAATATTTTGATAAAATTCCATTCAAAGAAACATTATTCAGTGTGACTGCCTCCTCTTGTATCAGAAGCAAGCATGAGGAAAATGGGAACCTTTAAATCTTTTCAAGTGTATACTGCAATACTAAACTCTCCCTTGATACCCAAAAATCAACAACATCTGTGTTCCAGCTATTTTACAAATGTATTATCTCAAAACTAACTTTCCTCTGAGAAGTCTTTTATTTAAAGAATAACTTGAGGGCAATAAACAAAAATATTACTTCACCATTAATCTGCAAAGGAAAAAAATACCTGTCATCTACCAATGGCTTGGTTTGAAAGCAGTCTCCTTTAGGGAGAATATCAAGCCTGTTATGCGAGATGAATCTTAGATGTAGCACAGTACTTCTGGATTAAAGATTCAGAAGTAAGCTTGAGCTGGAGCTGTGGCAAGTTCATTTAAATCAGATTTTTTCAAGAGCAGTATCTAAATGCAAATAAACATTCTGTAACACAAAATCGAAATCAGTTTCTAACACAGGCCAGGTAGTTGCTCAGCAATGTTAACTCAGTGAAGTGTTTTCTCATTCCCAGAATTAGTTGGTGCAGGAATAAGATGCAAACATGGAATGGAAAGATGAACACGGCACGATGGAGCGCGGAGTCCACGGGAGCCACGATGGAGCAATGACTTGTGTTACATGGGCCGGAGATGAGGAGCAGTGTCCAATCTGACCATGCTGGGATGCTAGTGGGAATTTGATTTTCATGACTCAGAATGATGGGGCTTGTTACGTTTGGTGTTTGTGCGCGGTGATGTTTGCTGATGGTGTGACACTGCCAAGGCCTCAGACGTTCAGAGGCTGATCGTGCTTGTGAGGATTATTGGGGCAGCATGCGGAGAACCTCTCGCGGGGAACGCCTTTGATTTTTGCTGCCAGGCATCCGAAATTTGGAGAAACTCAGGCTAGTTCATTTATAGATACTGAGGTTTTTTGGCAACAAAATTCTCTAGTTGCCCACACGTCTATGCCATGAGGCTTGACCTTATCCATCCAAATAAACGGAGCCAATTTAAAGGCTGATGACCCACCAGCAAAATATCAAAGTATAGGCAGATGTTCACAGGTATGGATCATGCTCTTACCTGGCCTTCCTGGAACACCTGGTGGGCCAGGGCTACCTTTAGGACCTTCCAGAGGTGGCCCTGGTATTCCTGGTGGACCTGGTGGACCCTGCAGACCAGGGAATCCCTGGAAACCTGGTTCTCCCTTCGGGCCTTGAAGTCCAGGGGGTCCCGGTGGACCAGGTAATCCCAATTCCCCTTTTTGCCCTGTAAAAAGTCATCTTCGTAAATACTGTTACAAATTTACATAAAGCCCAAAAGCCAACTTGCAAAGCCATTTCTCTCTTGCAGAAGGCACAAGTTGGGCCACAACTCCCCTTATTTGCAGGGTGAGATGGTAAAATTCTCTAACATTCAGAAAAGAGTGAGGGCTAATAATCCTTGCAGGAGAAAGTGCTATAGCTTATAACATGTTAAAAAGTCTTCCTAAGTCAGTGATGCTGTAATTCATAAACATCCTTGCAGACTGTAAACCTACAAATAAGGCTTCTGTGAAGAGACCTGTCAGTATTAAGACTTCATCTTTTTTTGAAATGCTGCTAAAAATTAAGACATGCAAAATTTTCAAATAAGCCTGGAGAATTTAGGAGCTTTAATGCTACCAGAAAAGAGCAATGTATTGAGTACCTATACTTGCAAAGCAGCTTCATTTGTCATCTGTTGCATGAATGCTTTATTTACTGACACCAATCAGCAAAGTTCCACACAATGCAATAGGCTATTGCTCTGTATGCATTTATTCTGGCTGCATAATTGCTAATTTACAAAATTATAGTGGTCAGTAATAAAATGTCTTTATTCCTGTGGTTAATTTAAAACAGTCTGCTGAGGAAAAAAAATTACTTGTAGCTATAGCATTTGTTACAGAAAAAACAACATACCCTTCTTGGTTTTGGTGTGTAAATGTATTTTACATTGAAGCTTCTTAACAAAGGCAAAAGAAAAGCTTTACCTGACAATCCTGGGAGTCCTGGGGGTCCTGGACGCCCAAAACCTGGTAGACCTGAAAAAAAGACAGATTTAGACAAAAATGAATATTTAGCTTTCAGGTCTCCAGAAATAGGAATATGAGGCTTAGAACAATGAAAGTGCAGTTCATCTAAATAAGTGATTCCTTGAGATGACTTGGATTCTCATTCACTCACCAGTCTTCTCCAAAGTTGGAGGGTTTGCTATTGAATGCATCCCTAACTTTCATAACTGTTTCCATCCCCTTGCAATCCACATTCTTTCAGATTTTGGGAGTTACTATGTTTGCATTTTTGTCTGTAGATCTATCTTTAGAGCAGGGATTACACTGTTTATCCACTGTGTAACTGAGCTGAAGCAATACAGCTACCATGGAATACAGGAGCAGAGGCTGGTGTTAAAGGCAGGTAATGAAATCCAGGAGAGCTGGCTGAATTCTTGCCCTGTGCTTCCCTGGCAGCTTGCCAGCATCCTTTGTGAGCCACCCAGCAGCCAGGAACCACAGGAGCAGCTTTGAAGGTGTAAGGGCAGTTACAGGAAAGAAAGAATAGAGCAAACAGGACATGTCAATGCAGAGTGAAGAGCAGGAAAGAAACAGGAAGGACACCTAACCTGGTTCACCCTTCTGACCCGCTGGTCCAGGGATACCATCTCGACCAGGCTGTCCCTTTTCCCCTGAAGGACCAGGTGGGCCAGGACGACCAATATCACCTAAAATAGGGATGGAACACATCAGCACAGTCTTGCCTAAACTGCAGTAAAGAAAACCAGCATCCCCTTCACCACTATCTGAATCTAAAGGTGTGGTAATGCAATAAAAGATTTACAAGGGTGCAATCTTAAAATTGAACCTTTCTCTCTCTCCCCTGCCCTGACAATTCAAAAAAGCCTTTTAGGCCTGTGATTTTTCAAGCAGTCACTGTTTGCTAAAAATATAATGCTTCCCTTTAAAATAAATTAGAATTTTGCTCCTATAAAACAGGTTAGACCACTGTAATACATAGCATAAATAAAGCTGGTAAGTACAGAAACAGTTTTCTTGTTTCAATAGCTAATGAATTGACAGCAAATACAAGTCCTCAAAATAAAGTTAAAATTTTTCTCTGCTGTTTAATTTCCGTGAATTAAGTTCAATGTGCGATGGTGTTCGAGCACCCATATACATATAGATACATTTCCATGATGCTAAAAAGAAAGGAAGTGCCTTCATGTGTTATGTTTTTCACAGAAGCAGGTGATCTCTGCTGCTCTGTCCATACTCACCTACTGGCCCAGGTGGTCCAGGCAGGCCAGGATTACCTGGAGGGCCCTCAATACCTTTTGGTCCTGGAATTCCTGGTGTTCCTGTAAAGTACAGGCATTTCAATCAAATAATGAACAAAACTGACTTTTCAGCAGATCTTGAAATGCTACAATCTGAGATGCCCTGATTGACGAAGAACTAATTCTACCAAGATATTGTATTTATGATTCTTTTGCAGATTTACAGCTGGTAAGGATATGAATTAGAAAGCAAAGGATGCACAGAAACAAAACATACTGGTATAACTGCCCTTACTGCTACTCTCAAGCCTCCTCTTAACCGGTGAGTGCTCATGGCCAAGGACACAGCAACTCAACAGTAACCATTTTAAGGACAGATGTTTCTGCTTGACAACAAATTGAAAGCGTTATGAACTGGGATTGAATAGTCCTTCCCCAATCCTCTTTTCCCTTCCTGAAAAAGTAAAAATGGTCTTAGGGTTTACAGTGGATTCTCACCCCTACAGCATGAACTGAGAGGGAGGCAGGAAACACTGATCTGTTGCAGTGTCTGCTCTGAACAACACCTGAGCCTGACCAAGACAGTGTCTCAATACACCTTGTGGCTGTTCAGCCTTTTGGGCATGACATGAAACAGAGGGTAAAAACAGTCAGGTTCATGGTCAAGTTTTGTTTTCTGCTAAGCTTCCGGTTGTCATGACCACAAGTTGTAAATTCCCTAATTTTGTACATCAAAGCATCCCAAGCATATTTGTAAAACAGCCTTTAGTGCTGTAAATGCAGCCAACATAAAGACTTTATTTCTTTAAATTTTGAATGAAAAAACTGACCAACACCTGTCAACGGAACAACCATTATTAATATTTTTAAAGAACAAAGTGCAAAACATAATTTAATTATATTTCAGAAATTTCTCTTTAGAACACATTTTTTGGACAATAAATGATATGAAAAAACTGCTAAGTTTTCCAGGATGGCACTTTTTTACTGATTCATGATGGAAAAAATAGAAATACTTTTTTTTTCACCCCAATATTTTGTGTTAGAGGAGGTAAGAGTGAGTGCTATGGAGAGTATTAACTAACACAGCTGCTCCATCCCATCAGAGCAGAGGAACAATTTCAGAAGGCATTCATAAGAGAGGCATTCCCACACTTTTGCAGTGACAATTCCAACAGCACAAAGCTTAGAAGCAGCAGATTACCAGAAATTCTGAGAGGCTGGAATCTCCTCCAGTTACCCACTGTGTTTGGCTGTTCATATCAATATTAGCAAGAGGGCAAATGAAAAAAAAAATCTGTTGAGGATTACCTGGGAATCCAGGAAGGCCTGGTTCTCCTTTTGCACCTGGACTGCCTGGAAATCCAGGCAAACCAGGATTTCCAGCTATACCTTTTGCACCTGGACTGCCTGGGTATCCAGGCAAGCCAAGATCTCCCTAGAAAACATTAAGCAGAAATACAAACCCAGATTTCTTAAGATAAGAAAGCCCTCATTGTATGTTCCCCATCCTACCATCACATCAAGATCACAAGTATATTGTGCACACCTCTCCCCATGTCCAGTTAATGTGAATCATCTCAACACAAAATGAAGCAAAACCAGCAATAGTAAAGACTTCCACAGCTTCCCCCTATAATTTTGTGTACTGTATCATAGTTTTTCCTCAGAACAGGCCTATGTTGAAGAAAAAATACCTTCCTTTCTTCCAGCAGGATCAGAGATTTTTATCCTATGACAGTGCAGAATAAAAATGAAACCAGTGCAGCTTTAATCATGCAATGTTTTTGCTAAGTTAATTGGGCACAACATCAATTGCAAGGCATCAGTGAAGACTGTAAGACATTCTGAAGATCTTTTTTTCACTTTTTTGTGGGTGGCAGAAAGGATGATATAAGTAAATATTAATTAAAATACTTTATACAGACTTTAAAATTTTAAAAAGCAGTAACCATGCTTTATTATGAATAATTTGTTCTTAAATGTATGTCTAAAATTTTTAGGAATTAACTACATAATTAGACGAGGACAATGATATTAATTGTATAAATCCTTAGCAACTACACGAGTGTCACAGTGAAGATTAGGCCACTAAGTAAATCCAACTGGAAAAGTCTGGTAAACAACCTTCTGCTTTAAACTGATTAAGTTATATATAAATATTTTCACCTTTAAAATTAGAAATTTTTATCTCACCTGAAAAGTCAACCCTGCTTGTTTCTAATGTATTTATATACATATTTACAGTTGTACGTAGTATATATAAAGTAATAGTTGAGGGGGAAAAAAATCAACACAAAATTTAATTTCCTCATGTAATTTTCAATGGAAGGATTTTGTAAAGGTACCTTTGGTCCAGGGGGACCAGGAATACCAATGCCTGAAAGACCAGGGTCACCTTTCTCCCCTTTCAGTCCAGGAAATCCTGCAGGCCCAGGCTGCCCTGGACGTCCTGCCAGTCCTTGGTTGCCTTTAAGCCCAGGGGGACCTGTCCAAAAGATAAAATGAAATTAAAAAAAAATAAAACTTCTGCAGTAATTTACAGAAATAATTCAAAGTACAGCAACTCAACTAGAAAGGCCTAACAATCTGACTGGCTGGCCTTGAATACCTAATGTTTTTTTCCTTCTAAAACCAAACTAAAACAATTACCTAAAAGTCTCCATACATTATGTATGTAGTGCTTTATGCAATCCTCATCCTTATTGCTATTATTACATACTAGACACAAACAGAGTCATCTTTGGGGTATAGAACAGGAGAACACTGGCCCAGATGAAGTACAATTCAAGCACAGAAACTAACCTGGAAGGCCCATCTCTCCCATAGCTCCTTTTAATCCTGGAGGTCCTGTTGGTCCTGGCTGCCCAGGAAGCCCCAAGTCTCCCTTGATGCCTAGGAAAGGTGTGATTGAGTTAATTAATGGCAATAATTACAGGTTTCTGATATCCATGCATTCTCATATGAACATGCTTATCTGATTACAAGCAATGGATTTGGAGTTGCTTTAGGTCTCATACTGCTCCTACTTGCTTTTCCACACTTATTTGTAGTAAAATATTCAACACCTTCATTTTGTTGCAAGCCAAGATTTGATCAGGGCCACTGCAGATTTGTTTTGACACAAGTCTAATGAAATAGGTCAAATCTCAGTCCAGGATTCAGTCACCATCTGAAAGGATTCAGCACTGACAGGTGTGATATGGTCTGTCATGAGTTCCTCTGCAGAATGAACACATCATCTCTTATGTGGAACAAGTATTCAGCAGCTTCTTTTACAGAATTAAATGCAACCTACAATGCCCAAACTGGTGTGAGTCCTGGATGTTAACAATAATCCCTAAGCCCAACAAAATATTTAGAGCAAGGCCTACATTAGACACAGCAAGAAAGGACTCAAGATCTCCCTACAGCTATAACAATTTATCTGAGAAGTGGTTCAAAACAGAATTAGTTTTCTTGGTCCTTGCAATTCTTTCATTAATACTCACCAAAGCAAATATTAGACACCCTGACAGCCTTTGCAATACATCTATTTGGCCATTTTCAAAATACAATGCTTAGCAATACATGAAATAAACACATGAAATGAAAGTCCTTTTGGCAGGTTCTGCAGTCACGTTGCTTGCTCAGGCAGCAGGTACTTTTGCAGTCTGAAAGTACTTGCAAACTGAAAGACACCTTAATCTTCAATGGGATCAGTTTAAACCTGCTCTTGAGTCTGTTGGAAGGAAAGGGCTTCAAGCATGTGTTTGGATAATGACTTTAAATGTCCCAAAACTGTGCTGCAGTTTCAAGTGCAAATCCCTAAGGTTAGTTTAGATATAAGTGGATTAGCAGCCCAACTCCATGATAAAAACAAATGCAAATCTTTATTCATCAAAACTGTCCAGCTGAGGCCTTGTTTACTGACCTGGCAATCCTGGCACACCTGGTGGGCCACTAAGTCCTGGTGGGCCTGGGTCACCTGGGAGACCTTGATAACCTTTCTGGCCTGATAAACCAGGAACACCTCAAGGGAAAAAGACACATTTTATTATTACTACTATCACTACTACTGTATGTTTTCTTTTACCTTAAGAGATCAGATGTAGCTATGGACGAATAAAAAACCAAATAGGGATTTTTCTTCAGTAAATATAATTCCCCTAGCTTAGCAAAGAAAAGTATCACAGAACACAAAGTATTTGTTCTGGAAACTTTAAAATTACTACAGAACAGGAACAATATAGTAAGTAGAGAAAAAAGTAACTTCATGACTAATGCTAATATACTTCACTCAAGGGCCGTTTTCTGGATGAGCAGACTCCATTCTAATCTCTGCATTCACTCAGATTATTTATATACAATTTAAATTACATTGCTACATCAAAATCACTTTGGGACTAATATATTATAAAATTTAATGCAATTTTTTTTAGCATATTTTTACAAGTTCTATATGGCTGTTATCCCATAAGAAATTTGTGTTGCCCTGCTGACATAGTTAAACCTGCCTTCCATAGGAAAAGAAAAATAGTGTCTTTGGAGCCTATGTTGGCTTGTGAGAAATTAACACAATAGGTAAATTAGCAAAAAAATGGCTGGGACAACATTAGGGAAAAGCATTCTGGCTCTCTCTAGGGTAGAATATTTTTTACTCCTTTCAAGACTAAATTAAGAGTTCAAAGGAGACATCAGAACCCTTGGTGGGGGAGGAGGGAGAAGCCAGTAAGAATGACAGAACACTGACTTGAAAAAGACTTCCAGGCTGCCAACTTCCCAAGCAGGAACACACACAGAGATGACATTCAGCTCATAGGTGGTACAGAGAGACACTCAAAGGGAGAATACAGAGGTGGTGCATGAGAAGATGACCTGAGCAACTTCATTCTATGTGGCAAAGACTGAAGGGCCTTTGAGACAGCAGGAATGCAGCCAGGACAGCAGCTATGAAAACTCTCTCATCATGCTTAGGAATAACTCCTAGAAGAGTGAATTGTAATCCTGCTCAAAGCATCTTAGTGCTATTACAAAACTGCCATGTGCCAAATAATAGTAACAGCTAATGAGCAAGGACACAGCAGACTAATCATACAAAGGAACTTGGTCACAAAATCCCTTTTAAAAAGCATAAACACAAGACTTTAAACCACATCTATATTCCAAATTATTTTTTTTTCTGTAAGACTGAATGAATAGTAATGGATTCAGTCACAGCTCACTAGTATGTGTAGAGGACAAAGCACCTCCCCACACCCACATGCAAAGTTCCTTACCTGGAACACCCGGCTCGCCTTTTTCTCCTTTTGCTCCCAGCTGTTTGGGATCAAGTGTTCCTGGTGGACCTGGCAGACCTGCTTCACCTTTGATGCCTTTCTGCCCCACTGGTCCAGGAGGTCCTGGTGGACCAGGTAATCCACTATTACCTACAGAAGGTACAGCCAACAAAACGAAAAAAATAATTCTTAAAGGTAGGCTAATGTATTTGTCATGCTTTGTCTTACATAGGCATTCCATGATTTATTCATGAGGTTGGAATTCACCCAATGATCAGGCAGTTCATGGAAGGTGCTCCACAGCACCTTTAGCCCTGGAACAAAGCTGAGTGAATGGAGTGCACAGGGGTGTCTGCCAGCTCTGGGCAGCAGAGGAAGCAGCTGTGCCTGTCTGAGCCACGCTGTGCTACCAGCACAACAGCTATGGCACCTTTGGATTCAGAGCCTCCTTGTTCTGGAGAGGTGAACTGGGTTTTCTTTTACCAAACTCTTTCAAAATTCTTCTCCAACAAGGGGGTTGGGAAAATGCTGAGAAGAGACTCTCTGATACCTATATAGCTAATTCTTGATGACTCCATAACTCTAAGCTACTGATTTTCTTCTTTCTGCTGCTTTAAGCAGGCTTCAAAACACACTGCAGAAATATTGCCCTACTTCAATGCCATCAATCCAAAGGAAATGTTTCTAAAATAGCTAACAATTCATGACATCAACTAAATAGTGATTGAATGCTATGGCTTAAAAATGCAAAGCAATTCTGAACATCAGCACTGTAACAAGACAATAACTTAGGCAGTTCTGAGAAATTAAAATCTAGATGTTAGTATTACAACACAGGAGAGGGAAAACAGCATTCTGTGTCCCTTTCAAGGGTGAATAAAACAAACATTACCTTTCAAGCCAGGCAGACCATTTCTTCCAGGAGTTCCTGGAGGCCCTGGAGGACCAGGAGCTCCCATGACACCCATCTCACCTTTGGCACCTAAAAGCATTGAACCAACCACATTGTCATTCTGAACAGAAACTCAAAACCTAACAGGCACCTTAAATTTGCTCCCTGGATCTCTATGGTATTTATTAACCAGCACATGTGTGTTTTAAGGGAATTACAAGCACTCATTTATTGTATAAATTAATATCAGACAGAATGACACTTGAAAATTGTGGCAATTTTTCCAGTTAGGTCCTGAGAAGAAAATTTGCACTGCTCTGCTATGGTAGAAAGCATGTTTATATCTCCAAGAGGTTTAGTTCTTTGGTTTGAAACACAAATACTAGTTGGAACAAACTTGACTTGAGTGAAAGGCAAGAAGACAATTAAGTTTACACTACTTCTAGAATCTTTTGTATTGCTCCCTCTATCCAAGAGATTATCAAAATTCATTTTTAGTATTTCTGTTTCAAAGGCCAAAACAGACTAGCTTAACTGAATAGTCTAACACTTAGAATAAGGAAATTAATACTTAAAACTAAGTAGCATTTATCATGATTTTCTTTAAACAAATTCCGTTCATAATTAGAGCAATGACTAGAAAACAATCACAAAATAAATTAGAGAAGTATCATAACAATGATGATCAAAGCCATATCTGAAAGTTATGAAAAAGAATAACGTATGAAATATTTAAATCAAGTTACAGGGAAGAGGGAAAAAGTAACAAGGATTTTAATGCAACAAATCTTGTTACATTTTTTTTTTTAAAGTATGAGGTGTAATGGTCACATATATCCAACTTTAAATAGATAGGATAAACACCTAAGCACATTAAGCTGGCATGGCCAAGCATAAAGAGCTTACCACCTGTAACTGCAGTTTGGTCTTTCTCCACAGGTAAAATACATGAACTTACCTGGAAATCCAGGTATTCCATCCCTGCCAGGGGGCCCAGGTGAACCCTGAGGCCCTGGTAGTCCAGGGGGTCCTGGATATCCTGGAGCTCCTTGGTCACCTGGAGGACCTGGAATATCGAAGCCTGGAGGACCTGGATCCCCTTTCTCCCCTGGAATGCCTTGCAGCCCTAGACAATGTGGTTAAGACAAAACGTTTTAGCAAAAAGTCAGGAAAGGCTGAGATCTGTGTGATGGGGTATACTGTAGGAAGAGTTTTAGTTGCAATCCATTCCTAGTACTGCTGAAAACCCTGCAATTCCTCTAAATACAATTATTTTTTAATGGCTTCCAAGTGTTAGAAGGCCAAATTCTCCTGAAAAGAAACATGCCTAAAATTTTACTAAGATGCAGCAAATGCAATTCAAATCTCAAAAGGAAAACAACTCTCTTCAACAATATTTTAAGTCTGATATTAAAAGAAAAAGTCAAATTTAGTAGACTCATTTGTATTTTAAAATTAGGTATTCACATTCACATATGTCCATGAATTACTCAGTTTTCCTACATTCTAAGGTAACAGCAGCTGAATATTTTTGAAGGTTAGCAAAATTCTGCACTGCACTGTATTTTCCCTAAATGAAAAATAATAATTGTCAAGATATGCTTAAGATTGTTCAGTGCTAATGACCCTGAGCTCAAGGCAATGAAGGAAGCAGGTGGCTCATTTCCCTCCAGTGCACAGAGTCAGTGAAGATGCTCACTCTGAAAATGTAGCTGACCAAAAAGGAGAATTCATAAATCTCAAGTTAAGAAAAGGCTTTGGTAAAGAAACCACAGTACCTGGGGGACCTGAGGTTGAAAAGCCAACGAGTTAGAGCTCATCAGGAAGTTGAGACAGGTAGCAGTAAGCAGTTGTAATAGTCATTAAGTTAGGAAACAAAATAAAGCACATATGGATTAGAATAAAGACAAAAAAAATCTATCTAAAGTTACTGAAAACAGATCTAAATACAAAGAATTCAAAGCTAATGCAGCTAAGAGAAACCAGACTGCAGGGAAACTTGGAGATCATCTTCAAAGTGCATCCATCTCTGTATGCAGAAGTCACAAACATATTTTCAAATATTGATAGTACATTTTAATTTTCTTTTCCTGTCTCTGCTTGTCTAGTATTCTCTACAAAAGTGGGGAACAAGCTTTTTCTGCTATGTTTCTTACAAAAACTCTCATTTCTAGACACTGGCTTGGACTCCTTCTGAACACCAGAGTACCCCCTATCAATCAGCTTCTCATTGATTGGCCTCACACTCTGTTAAATCCCTCCAAACAGGGATTTTCAAAAGATGTTTCTTCATTATCACACAAAAAAAACTTCCAATATTTTCCCCCATTCTTTTAGTTCTATTATGTAAGCACCAATTGTTACATCACAGATGGTATACTGCATATTGCATGCCCTGGCACAGAGATAATTGACACCACCATGCCAAAACCTCATAAATAACTCCAAGGCAGCAGAATTCCAACTCTGTAATGGTGACCCCACTCTCAGCTGCAGGAACAAGTTTAGGAGTGATGTCATCATGTGTTCTTCACACTCTGAAAAGGTAGATTGAATTTTCTTGATGGCATAAGCTGTGGAATTGCATTTATTTAATTCTAAGTGTGTTCCACTCTGGCAGCAGCTTTAAACCCTCGTGTCATGTGCCTGGAGTGGCTATTTTGCACAGAAAAACAAACAGTACCAGATGATGGACAGGGGATACACATGCTCTGTATTCAAGGACTTTCTATCACCAAGTAGAAAAAAGAGAACATAATATATAGGACAAACTCCATACCTAGAATGGCAAAGATATTTTTTCAAATAGAAATTAATTCCAATCTAATTTCTGGTCTCAAAAAAGTAAGCACATCATAATTAGAAAAATGTAGACAACACAGTAAATTCTAAAGTAATTTGTTACATAGTCAAAAAAGGAAAAATCTTGACCTATTACAAACTACTTGAATAAATGGCGGTGCAGAGGAAGCAAATCCTGAACAGGGACTTCCAAGAATTTTCTAAATTACCTGAAAAACAGAGTCCCAGAACTTTACCCTAATGCTGCATAAAGGATCAGAATCAAAACAGCCTAGTAATACACATGAGGGATGGGAGAAGGGAATGTAAGACATTCTGCACAGAACAGAGACAGAGCAGTGCCAAGGGAAATAAAGATTTCTCAAGCAGGACCTTCCAGCATGCACCAGATTTCAGAGTCCCATGCTGTTAATAGCCACACTGATTAGTCAGTACAGACATGAAGAATGAAAATAGAGGCATTTCAAATCCATCAGCTCTAGTAATCATTGTGCATTTGTCAACATTGGTATTTTGCAGAATAAATTGGTGGTCACACAAAATCAAACTCTGGCTAGCAGCAGAGGAGATGTTACAGGAAGACAAAAGAACATGCATTGGATGAAACATTCAAACCCACACTGATCCACCCCCCCTAACCCTAAAATCAGGTCCTTGTGTTTCAGTTTAGCCTCCAGTGCAGCTCAGGATCCTACAGTCAGCACAGCCAGCCAGGCCCAGCACCCACTGCTGCACCAGGGAGCCCCTGTGTGCCTTGTCCCAACCCCTCCTGTGCCCTGCTCCCAGCACTGGGCACACCCCAGGCTGGCTGGTGCCCTGACCACATGTTCCTTGCCCCACTCAGGAAGAACAGATTGAAACCTGACCCACACTGTACATGCAAGCAGAATTCAAACTCCATGGGTCTGTTTACTCAAGTGCTTGTCCACCTTCAAGTTCAGCACTTTGCTGAATCTCAGCTCACAGTTCATAAAGACCTGAATATGACCAATCAATCCACGATCCATGGTCTTAGAGCTGGCCATGATTTTGTCAGCATGCATTGCAAACAATGACAAACCCAGTGCTGACACACAAGCACGTTCAAACAGTGTAGCTCACAGACATGCAACACAAACATTTTACAGGCATGGCAGAATGAAATATTTAATTTAATACTGGAACTGGATGTGTTTGGAAGGGCTTTGGTGCAAGGCATGCTGAGGACCACAGGAAGTGTTCTCACTGTGGTGACTGCCACATATTTGCAACATCAAGAGTTGGTGCACAGCAAGCCCATTGACTGAATGAAAGGAAAAGGAATTTCCCTGAACAAACTGAATAGAATGATGTACATGCATACACATGAACCCTTCTGTGTAGAGATTTAACAAGTTCATATCTTCATCAATCACCAGTCATTTTAGACAAAAGGCAACCAAACTCCCTTCAGAGACATAAACTTAATTCTCTCCATCTATCTGTGAGTTGGACCTTCAGCCCTTTGTGTCCCTGCTTATATATGCCAGAAATAACCTATGGGAACCATTTGTATAAGTTTTACCTGGGGGGCCAACAGGACCTGGAGGTCCTGGAGATCCAGGAGGACCTTGACCACCAATGCCAGGGATGCCTGGTGGGCCTGGAAGTCCTGGTGGTCCACTTGGTCCAGGGTCACCTAAAAGAACACTCTTGTTTAGTCAAACAGTGAACTAATTTCAGGGAAATTTGCTTTCATAGCAGAGTCCCTGCACATTCTACTTGAAATCTCATTCTTGCAAGCAAACCAACATTGATCTAACAGAGAAAAAAAACCACACTCCAGAGGCTATTTCCCAAGGCCAGAGGTTTGTCCTCACTCAACATGGACCTCATGAAGTTTTTGTTTCTAGGCTACACACACATATATTGCACTACCATCCACATCAAACTCAAAAAATGCTCCCCAGCAAACCAGGCATGCTGGGAAGGTCAGTACAGACCATGGTCAAGAGCAGAGGGAAATGAATTGCTAACTGTGCATGTGGAAGCACAGTGCATCTAAATGAAATTACTCTGTTGACAAAGTTTCACCCCATATAAACATTATTTGTCTTTAGAATACAGAGCTTCAGGTACTGACCCAAAGATTGAGATTTATTCCCTTAACTGCCTTTTGAGAACACATTCTTCCATTTACAAAGGTGTGTCTGCTTTGGAAAAACTGATTTAGAAGTAATGGCTCTAAAGTCAGCACTGCTTCTATTTAACTGCCACATGCCTCCCAGCACAGCTACATTTAAAAAAGTTCAATAGGGGAACAAAGCAGGGAGAGTTCTCAATACCTTTGGGCCCTGGGGTTCCATCAAATCCTGCCCGGCCTGGTAGACCAGGGTTTCCTGGGAAACCAGGATCACCTTTAGGTCCTTGAACTCCTTTTATGCCTGGGGGTCCTGGGGGCCCAGGTGGTCCTGGAACTCCAAATCCACGCTCTCCCTATAACAAATACATTTTAAAAAAGTAAAAGGTGATTTTCTAGGTTTAGCCTCTCCTAAGAATGTTAAAAGTAACAAAATTAAAAATGGCCACCATCTCAGAGTTCAATTTCTATTTTACTATCCTCACTCAAAATGTCAAGTAAAATATTTTACTTTGCCACCATCAAAAGCTGAGAACAAGAGGTGAAATCCTCCTCATCATGTTCCCAGTGACACAGAAAAACCTCTAAGGGAACTTTTATAGTAAACACAAACCTTCTCTCCTGGGAAACCAGGTGGTCCAGGAGGTCCATCCAGCCCAGGGCGACCTGGAGTTCCTGGAGCTCCGGGCGGGCCTGGAGTCCCTGGGAAACCTGCACATGACAGGAAGATTAGGGAGTAGAAAGGACACCAGAGAGCATTAGAACAACTCCTCCAGACATGCCTAAAACCCATGAAAAGAGGTTCTGTGCTAGCCCAAGCACTGAAGGGGTACCCATTCAGCTGAGAGAACTTCTGAGCGTTCAGTCTTTGCCACAAAGGGTCTCTGGGACTCTCTGAGTGGGCACTCCCTATGCTGTGAGCTTTTACAAAAATCACAAGCAGTTCACATTAGAAACAATACCATCTTGAGGCAGCACTAGGAGATCATTTATTGATTCAAGCTCATTTCCCAAAGTTTTACAAGTGTTATTGGTTTACTGAAAAATGTAAGCTACTGAGAAGGAGCAGGAGAGTGAACAGAGTAATAACAGCTCAGCAGTTTTTTCTCCTGGTATTTCTGAAACTGTTATAAAGATGTATAGCTTTAGGACAAATGTTTTTTAAAGGACTCTGGAGACAGAAGTCAACTCACTATTGAAAAGTGAAGAGAGCCCGTATGCCCCCTCTTCCAGCCAGTACAATACAGTAACAGGGCAGCAGACATACCCTTTGGGCCTGGTGGACCTGGAAGTCCAATGCCAGGAATACCTGGCTCTCCCTTTGCACCTGGGATGCCAGGTAAACCACGCTGACCTGGCTGACCAGGATCTCCTGGAAAAAGAACATCAACATAATTATATTCAGAATCAGAATAAAACGCTCTTGGAATCCCCTGGGTATCTAGCTGCTGCTTTACCTGGAAGACCTGGATCACCAATTCTTCCTGGAGGACCAGGGGGACCAGGAACTCCTGGTTCTGTAATAGTTTGGCCAGGGTCACCTTTTGGACCTAAAACCAAAAAGCAGAGATATGCATCACTCAGTAGGAGTTGTTTTTCTGTTTTTCTTTAAGCAGAAATAATGCCAATCCCATCCCAAGCTTACAGAGAACTCAGATATCAGCAATACTTTATTCAATAGGTTCTCTATCCCAGGCCTCACAAAGCACTTAGAGGCTCAGAAGCCCTGTTCAATGTTCAGACAGTTTTTCTGAACTGTTATTTTTTAATAGCTTCATCCTAGGTACCATCATGTGAATAGTATTTCCATAGCTGACACCAGCACAACTTGATTAGGATCTGTGTAGTTGACAAGAAAGTAACAAAAGCAAAGTTGTTCAAAGCAACCCCTTTTTTTCCCCCAACCTGTTTTAGCTGCAGTATAGCCAAGCATACAAAGGCAGTTACAGTGCATTTCCACTGCAATCAGTGGGGAAGGAGAGGCTTCCATGGAGGTCAGAGCAGAAGGTGAGGCATGTGCCTAAAGTGACATGGCAGAGATGCTGCCCTCCCTCTGGTTCTGTGAGGACCCTCAGTAAGGGAGCACACAAATAACAGGTCACACAAAGCCTCTAGGAAAAGCTAAAAAGCAGCATTATGTTCTGAGAAGGGACAAAGTTTGGCTTTGCAGCCCTTGCTCAACAGCACACAGAGACCAACTCACCTGGGACACCAGGAGGCCCTGGACGGCCAGATACACCTTGGATGCCCTTTTCACCAGGTGAGCCTTGTGGACCAAAACCAGGAGGTCCAGGAAGCCCTTTTTCACCAGGAAGACCTGGTATCCCTGGGTCACCTGGAATACCCATTTCTCCTTTGAATGCAACACTGCCCTGGAAATAGAAAGAGCATGATGGGAAAGATAATGTATTTACTATCTAAAGAGTAAAGTGTTTCAATGTTTCTGCTTTGAAACTCTCTGGCAGTTTCCATCCTTCCAGCTCTCATTAGCTGCCTAGACCTTGCTAACACAGTAGAGAGCAGGCCTAAACCTGGCTACTTAGTTCCTCCCAGTACATAGGTGAAACGTAGACAATGGCAGAAGGGACCCTCTGACACTGCCCAAGAGGAGCCTCAGCTTATTTCTAGAGCACTGGCAGATTCAGGAGGTACCTCAGTGTACCATCACTAGATTGGCATTTACTGAAGAGAATTCCTGCCTTATCACATACAGACAAAGTGCATTTGTGCCAGTTCTTTTATCTGCACTATGTCAAATGCATGCAGGACTTCCCAAAACACCCATCCAGTCAAAGACAGCCTGAAATGGCACTCACAGGTTCCCCCTTAGGGCCAGGCAAACCTGGCAGTCCATCTCGTCCAGGGGTGCCATCTATGCCAGGGAGACCTGGAGGTCCTGGGAAGCCAGGGTCTCCTTTGTCACCTTTCAATCTTGGAGAAGTCAGGACATCCCCTGGGTCACCTTTAGGACCAGGTCTACCAGGAGCACCTGGGGTGCCTGGGAAGCCCTGAGGGAGAAAAAAACAAAAAGAAAAAAAAAAAAAGAAGGTATTTTAGTTTTTCTTTCACTCCCTCTCTGAGTATGGAACACAGGATGAATCATGCATTCAGGATAGTTATGGACCAACAAATATGTATTAGACAATAAATTAAATCTATTGTTTACAGATCTACCTGTCATGCAAGACAAATGAGAGACTTTTCCCCACCAGAACATAATACCACCACTTACTGGTGGCCCTACAAGGCCAGTTAATCCAGGAAGCCCCTTTTCACCTTTTGGTCCAGGAAAACCAGGAGAGCCTGAGTAGTGCAGAAAAACGTAAAAGAAAAACATAAATCTGGAGAGGCTGCAATATCAAACATTATGTTTCATTGATAATAGCTTTAAAACTAGACAAAGTTTACAATTTTGGGGTTTTTTTGAAATCTTACTTTTATTTGAGTAGAAACATATTTGCAACTCTAGTTGAGCCAGTAGTGTCAAAAAAAAAAAAAAAAAAAAAAAAAAATCACACTTTTAAAAAGCTCCAGCTCCTCCATTATTCCAGGAATAGCAATAGAAGAAGTTGATTTTTCTCTCACAGTTAAATCTACAGCAGACCCTAAACCTTCAAAATGCAGAATGCTTGCAAGACTGCCTTGAACAGAGAAATATTTCTCAAAGACTAGATTTTCAAAGAATGAGTGTTTGTTTCACACATGCCCATCTTGTTTCTTTCCAGTTGTGCAAAACACAACATGCACCAACTCTGCACTGGAGCTGACAAATGCACATTTGAACTTGTACACGATACACAGATATATTGTGACCATTGTACCCAGACAACTCTGATAAAAAGTGCATTTATGGAACATATTAAGCAATCCAGTGAAGACTCCAGCCCTACCTGGACTACCAGGAGGTCCTGGTGGTCCCCTCTCCCCAGGAGGACCAGTTACTCCAGTTCCTATGCAGTTGAAGCATGTGTCTCCTCGGTCACCTAAAAAGATTTGCATTGAAAAAGTGTACTTGAGCATGAGGTTTTAGAAAATATTAAAAGAATTCAGCAAAACAACAACTGTTTTCTTGCTACTGATCTATAATGCAGGTCCAAAGTGACTACTTTAAAAAATTATTGCTTAAAATTAGAAGCCTCCCCCTCCCTGCAAGTTAAACTAAAGCTTTTTGGTGGCTAGGAATCAGACAACCAATATCAGATAAGATTAGAATGTAGTTATGACAGTGCAAAACAATTAAAACAAAAGCAGGGCTTTCAGAAATAGAAAATAAAACCATGGACTTTTTTTCTTTTCAGCAAAAGTGTCCCCTTTTAAAGTAGGTACTTGACACTTCTAACTACAACTATAAACCACATGTATCAAAATCCCAAACTTAAACTCCAAGAGTGCAAAATAAATATTGGGAATGTTTCATTGATTTGAAAATAGACTAAAAGTATTTAATGAGGGAAAAAAGATTTGTTTCAAGAAGCTTAGGAATTTCCTTCACATACAGACATATGTGACATTCATCAGTGAAATACGTGAGCATTTCATTTAGGTTAATTAGTTAATCTTTACAATCTCCATGACAAAAAATATTTTGCTTTCAAGTGAGTACAAAATTAAAGTGAGATGTCTAAAGTAATTTATGATGTCCATGGTTGGGCTAGGAAAAGATTCTCACTTACCTATATCAGCATCCTCATTGCAAGGTTGTCTTTTTGGAAACAAGGATATATATTAAATATGACTTTCTTTTGCTTAGCAAACAAACAAACTCACTGCAGACTGACCAGCTCAAATTAGGAGTCTTGTATTTATAACTTTAATGTTGTTTTCCATAAAAAATGTCAAATTTATTAATGAATAATATTAATGAATTTTGAAACAGACTTGGCCAGGGCTGTTACAAAGCACACAGTTTCCTTCTGCCTGGGAGATAATCATAAACCTCAGGTTCCATTTCACTTTATTCAAGATCATTATTGGTTACACCCTCAGCCACTCAGACTCCTGTGCTTTAATGTTAGGTGTTAAGGAGTATCCTACACTCAAAGCAAACAGCTTCCTTACACAGAGACATAAAACATCTGCACTCAACCCTACTGGAAAGGGGCACCATTAATCATTATTTAATGCAGCCTTTACATTTTTTACCAAGCTTCAAAAAAAGGAGAAAAATAGAAAATATAGCCATGACACTGCACCTTTTTGGCCTCGCTCCCCTGTAAAACCTTGTTGTCCTGGAATTCCTGGAGGACCTGGTGGCCCTTGCTCACATAACCCTTCACCTAAGGAGAATCAGGAGAGGTTTTATTATCTATTTGAATTAGACTGACAGCAGCACCAAATAGATGCATTCAGTACAAAAATGTATTTGTGTGGAGATTCTAATACACCCACCATAATCACAGACCAAACATTTCGGCAATTCAGACAGGACTGCTGGTGAAAACCCACACATGTAATTCAATCTCAAAAAGAAATAGTGATATTACACAACAATCTTCAATTCTTTACAACCTCAACCATCTCCCACTGCTTCCCACAGCCTACACACTTACATCTCTACACTTCATTCTGATGTTCAGCCTCCTATCATAAAAACATGCCTATGAATCATCATCAGAGCAAGGACACTTCAGATGCCAATGCCATCTAGACATGAAATTCTTTCCTGAACCATGTTAGCCACTCTCCACTACAGCTTTCCAGTTCTTATATTCCATCTGCCATTCCCTACTCTCCTTATACAAAAAAAAAGCTAAGTGCTTTCATCCAAAGTGTCCACTCCAAAGCTAATTTCACGTGGTCTACACACTAGAATATTTATGAAATGGAAGTGGAACTCTGTGAAAAGTTACACCTTTGACTCTCCTGCTATCACAGCTCTTAGTAGGGAAAAAATTCTGCACCTCTCCTTAAGCCTAAGGTTCTCCTACAGATGTCTTGATTTGCAAGGGGAGCAACTTGGAGAACCTATAGCAATAGAATCTCATGGGCTTCAGCTGCTGATAAACAACATCTTTGGAAGTGGAATTCAAAGAACCCAAACAAACAAACCACAGAAGCCCAAACCTAAGCAAATGTCAAAGCTGTTTAGTCTCTTCCACTTGCTGTTTATGTGATCATCACTTACCAGGAGCAACAGATGGTGCAGGTGGCCCTGGGGGACCTGGTGGTCCTGGCGGTCCTCGTGGTCCCTCAACTCCTGGTTGCCCAGGAATAGAAACCCCAGGTAAACCTGGATCCCCCTTCTGTCCTCTCTCACCAGGTAAGCCAGGTGGGCCAGGAGGTCCAACAGTAGTGATCCCTAAGACAGGAAGGACTTAGTTCCTTGCTAGCTTAATGGTTTACATCACATTTTTGTAAGGATGACAATGATACATATTTCACATTTTTGGAAATGTTTGTTTGAAAAATTGACCTGAGACTCAACAACTAAGTTTATGATTAGAAAAAAATCCCACAAAACAAACAAAAAACAGGACTAATGAAAGAATTCTTGATGACAAAAACCCCCATATAGAAGTTGTATCATTAGAATCACTATGTTCCTCTCTGTGCATGTATAATGCACATACAGGTGTCACTGCTCACTCCCACTGTAGACTCAGATCATCTCCTACCAGACATGTAGTACACAACACTCTCTCTGTGTAATGCAATGGACAACATATATTAATTATAGATGAGTGATATGAGATAGATTATCCCTAGAAGCATTAAGCTGGTATCTGATTAGCATCCTCAGTTCACCACAGCAAGGGCAATGAATGCTCAGAATTCCTCACATTATCCCCAGAAGTTCAAGACTACCCCTCAAGCTCAAAGGTTGTTCTAAATCTTCTGCCTTCTGTTAAAAGGATTGTGTAAAGGCTGTGAAGCCAAATACCCAATCACATGTTTGTGATTTCATTTCATTTAAAGCTTGCCCTCCTACCTGGAGATCCTGGCAAGCCAGGTGGGCCTGGCCTGCCAGAGAATCCACGGTCCCCTTTGGCTCCTGGAAGTCCTGGCAATCCTTTGCTACCTTTTGGTCCCACTGTTGCATCAATGCCTGGTCTTGGAACAACCTGAAAATGTTATATGCTCTTGTAAAGCTAATTGCCAAGAAAAGAGTCATTGGAATCATAAAGAGATGTGAGGGAGGGAAAGTTCAACATACTTTGAACCTTATGCCAATGACAGGATGCTTTCCCCACTCCACTGAATTACCAGGGAAAATTCCAGTAAAGAGCACTCCCCAATAGGAAGCTGTTTGCCTGCCAAGCCAACATAGTTACAACAGGCTTCAGTGAGGCTGACTCAGTCCTGCTGGTCTGAGGTTATAGTCTAGCCTGTGTTTGTGACCCAGCAAATCCCAGAGCACAGAACTGATCTTGAAAGAAGGAAACCATTGTTCCTGTTAGTGTATGTATGAAAAATTTTCTGGTGCTCTTGGTGTTGTACCCAGAGATAGGACTCTCAGTCAGCCAAGAACTACAGCAAAACAACACTGTCAAGCAAATGCAATAAAATAAGGGATCAGCAACTTACAATTCCAGGAGGACCAGGGGGACCCATGTCACCTTTTTCACCCTACCAATGAAATTAAGAGCATTTCTGATACAGTGCAGCACTACATAAACAAGCTATGGCAAATATTTCTCAACACTGTAATAGCAAAGGCAATGCAATTACTACTCAGGCAGAAATTAACTAAGTGATGGCAAATTTTCCACCTATTACAGGAATATTGACAAAAATCCTGGCATACCTTTTCACCATCTCTTCCTGGAGCACCATTTATTCCAGGCCCACCAGGTAAACCCTTCAAGAAAAGGGAAATATAATCACACTCAGATCTTCTCCATATCAAAAGAAAAGCTTATAAAGAGTTTGTTTGGATTAAAAACACATGAATTACTCACATCCCTACCAGGCTGACCAGGTTCTCCATCTTTGCCAGGCTTTCCCTTCAAAGACAAATATGCATTGAAATAAAATGCTTCAGTAGTAAAGAATTCTTATGGAAATTATGTTACTTGTTTCCTGTTTTTCAATAAACCAAACTCCATCCAGAATGCAGTCCTTGGAACAACACAAAGACATCAACCATAACCAATGGCATTACCTAAACTGAGGTTTCCTTTTTGAAAACCAGAGCACAAAGGCATGACAGTCTCAGAGTGATGCTGGGTGAATACAGCAAAAAATGATCTCCAGTTAACTACTGCTGATTCATTGTGCTTACTACTCCTTTTATTTTAGCAATAGAGAAGCTCTTTATTTGGAAAACAGATCCTAAATCCCTAAATAGTGGAACACCATATTTAATTAGTAAATTAGTATAATGTGACCAGAGAAACTAAATAAAACTTGGTGTTTGACTTTTAACTCTCCTTTAAATCAACATGACTTTCTCATTAGTATCAATGAAAATACAAGATGAAGTTCTGCTCAAAGAAGTGACTTCTAGAAGGCATGTTCTTGCTGAACAGATTTGTCATTGCTGCAATAAAAGCAGGGCAAGCTCCACTTTATTCCAGATGATTCACTGGGCAGAGAAACGGCACTTTATTATCAGAGTCACAGAAGCCATGTCTGGGGGCACCTGCTGGAACAGAACTAGAGCAGGTGATTGAGCTTCTCCTAGTGAACCTTCCTCAGTGCCAAGATCAGCTCTCAGTCATTGAGAAACTGATAATAATACCTCACAGATTTAGTGAATCAGAGTATAATGTGATTTGTGAAGTTTGTTTTCACTAGTGACGAGTTCTAACTCTCAAAACTGAGGTTTTAAGATTTCCTGTGAATGTGCAGAACTATCTATTTGAAGATGAAGACTGACATTTTTATGAGTATATCTGAAATGGCTTTGACCTCACAGAATCATATAGAGCCCTAAAATGCAACTTTAAAGTAACTTACCAGCAAAATTGCACTTCAAGTATGCAACATACCCAGATTCAGAGTAATAAAACCAAACAAAAATATTGGTAAACAAGGTTTTGGCAAAAGGCATCTGACATATCCCCTCAGGACTTTTATCCCTTCAGATCTTTGCAAATTTATGTGGTTCCCATTTACTTTTGCAGAGAGAAGCAACAATTCAAAGCCCACTCAATATATAATGAGACTTGTGGTTTGGTAAATCTGCTTTTTGTGTTCTTTAAAAGAGACAAATCAAAGCCCTTCTGTAAATCTCAGCAACTATGAAGGATTTTATCTGCAGTACCAAACATTCTTTTCCACTGTATTTATTTCCTATGGAAATTGGAAAACCTACTACCAGCACGTTTCTAAAGTGTTTATATATTGTCCAATTAACCAGAGCAGAACTTGTGCCTCGAATTTCAAAGGCACTTTGTTGATAAAACAATGCATTCAGAAGCTGTGGAAGTGAAGATACTGAATGTTTTGAGCTGGTTACAGCCTATCTTTTCTTTGCTGGTCTAGCCCATATTATTTTTATCCTATTTCCTAGCACTTCTATGATCTTCAGCTTTTCTGAGCTGTGATATCCAAGTACATTTAAATTCTAGGATTGATTTGAGTCTGATCAGGAACAAAGTAACTCTTGCTATCCCTAGGAAAAGCTACACTGACTTGTGCCCTCCCCAGATAGCACATAAATTGAGGCAGTCTCTTGGGAAGTGACAAACTGACTACTTTTGGTCTTAACAGTACTCAGAGACTTGGTTTTGTGATTCACCTCACAAGCAAACCCACCAAGAATGAGTTTACCTGGACCAGCTTATATATATATATCTATACACACACACACCAATCTCATGCTGCTTGGCAACCCAGTACAGGGCAAACTGAATGAAGACCCTTCCTAAAAGGAAACAGAAAACTGCTGCTTCAGACAAGCAGTCCAGCAACTTTGAAGGTTTTCACATACTATCCAGATAACATAATGTAAACTATTTTCTCCTGCCCCCTACACTAAGATCTACATGCAGATAGCTATCAGAAAGCACAGAGTGTCACAGCTAGAAGCACTGTCATGACCCCTGTGTGTCATCTGCGAGTTGCCAGGTTACAAGGAGAAAAAAAAGTCTCTTACCCATAAGCTGATGGCCCCACCTGAATTCAACATTTGCTTAATTGTCAAAGATAACACTGAATGGAAAGATAAATGTTTGGTTAAACAGACTACTTACTCTTTTGCCTGGTTCTCCTTGCTCACCTTTTTCACCTTTCACACCACCGGGAAGACCCTGGACACACAAACGTCATCTTAAACTCAGCCCACAAGCCAGAGTGGAATGAAGTTACAGTTCTGATACAGATGCAACAAAATAGAACTAAGAGTTCTACTCACAGGAGGGCCTGGAGGCCCAGGAAGTCCTGGTGGGCCTGGATCACCTGGAATACCCTGTCAAGCACGGTCAGAGAAAAAGAGAATTAAAGCTTCCATCACTCCCTAGCAGCTTAGTTGACTTTTTTCTTAAATAGAATATTTTTGCTGTCATTTAGATTCCAAGTTACAAAGGATCATATTTATTCTTTGTGTGGAATTTCAAGTGAATCTATAAATTTTATTAACTGCTCATCCTGTTTATTTAGATGATTCACTCCACTAAAAACACAGCTGCCTCTTGCAGCTGGCTTGGTGGCCTGCAGGTGCTATCCAATAGTAAAGAGAAGAAAGGAAAAAAGGAAGAAAGAAAAAACAAATGCCAAATCCTGCTGAAATTATAGGAGCAACAGTCATTAGATGACTGATAATTGCTGAAATTGAGAGGCCATCAGGATCAAAGTGTGTTTGTCAGAAAAGTATCACAGGATCATTGTGTTAACAAGTTCTCATTTCTATTTTGTCTTATTACACCTTTTCACCATTAACCTGAAGAACAGTTACAGGTTACTGAATCCACAAAAAGTTTCTGAGCATTTTCCATTATTTTCTTGGAGCCATCCCAGACTCAAGCCCATCTACACACTTGATTTTAGTCAGAGACCATAGTGAAGGCACATATAAAAATTCCACATGCATTTCACGAAAAAATCACTGCAATGTTGACATTTTTTACTGATTGTGCACTACCAAGCATAAATTTTGCTGAAATAAAAACCAATTTGCAAACTTGGAAATCATTATAAATGTTGGTCAAAGGCAACGCACTTAGAATGTTTATAATTCTTAGTGCTTTAAAAGGAATGTAGGTAGAATGCTTTTACTTTGTGCATTTACATAAATTAGTGCCAGTATAATTAGTCCTTCAGAGGTCCCTAATGACAGAAGCAAATTACTCTGACCCCAATAAAATCAGATTAATTTTTGCTTCAACAGTGTGGTCAAAATGTTACTTTGTGTTTTCTTAGAATTATAAAGACACACAATGCTGCTCTTTACTCTCTGTCCTATGACCAGTTACAGACAAAACCAGAGACCTTCCTAGGATGACTGTGCACTGCAAGTGTACAGCAGCACATAGTTCTATTTCATGCCTTAGTGGTGCTTAATGCTCTTCTGAAAGGAAAAGTAACAAATGGTTTTGATCAAGATGAAAGGCAGAACTGCCCTACACCCTGCTCAAATAAAATACTGCTGCGTCCCAAACCTTTCTTCTCTGACATCTCCCAAGATAAGAAGATGAAAAGGAAGGAATTGACCCAAACACCAATGGAAGAAACTAATAAAGTTCAGTTACTACAGTGACATTTGCAAAACAGTCAGAGCACAAAAATCATCACTCAACACTTTCCTCAAAGTATCTACCTCAACTCTTCTATTGCCCTTCCATTGGGTGGTATTTGAGAACATCACGAAAACTTCAAGGAAAATGTGACATCCAGGCACCCATGACCCTGCTGGTTTTGCTCAGACTGTCTATGGCACCCAGAATTAAACAGTACTGCAGAATGCTCCCCAGTGAAGAAGAAAGACCAAAAAAGTGTAATAACTTTAAAAATGCTAACTCTCCCAATGACCTTCTGACATTTTGGGTAGAGAGGGATCCATACAAATCACACCAGTATTTTGAGCTTACTTGCAACAATATGATTGATATTTACTTTTGAGATGCCAGAAACAGGGAAAGCACTTTATTCAGACCACAGGGAATAAAGATCTTGGGGCATCACTAACAAAAAAAGAAGAAATTGAATTAAAATTTTTGAAAGACTTCTTCACAATGGATGACACAGCTGGTTAATTAGTGGGAATCTGAATCCCCAGACTGCTTTGAAAATTGCAATTCTGGGTGTTCCAAAGAATGGGAGTATTTTAACTGCTTTTAATGTTACTGTGAACTGCTTTTATAGAGTTTTAGAATAGTTATTTTACTAAGAGAAGTAAAAACTAATGTGACTGGCATGATTTCTATTAAAGAAAAAGTACTCAGGCCTGGAATATTCAGTACTCTGAGGAAAAAATAGAACCTCTGCAATAAGCAGGATGTGAGCATATATGAACCAAACCAACAGAGGCTGCAGATTGATCACATGCTCACCACAGATGGTTGTAGTGTCCCACTCACCTGATCTCCTTTCTGAAACTCAATGTCATTGGGTCTTTTCTGTTCTCCAATTTGTCCTGGTGGCCCTGGAGGTCCCTGAAGACCTTGTTCACCCTAATGTGTAGGAAGATGCAGCTTATTACAGGCAATACAAGCAAAAATGGCAAGAACAAGTATTTCGAAGTAATAAGTAAAAATATCATTATGATCACCTACTCACTTTTTCACCTTTGGGTCCTTGGAAATTCAAACCCATATTACCCTGCAAAAAGTATAACTCATCAGCCCTTAGAAGTCACAAACAAAAAGAGAAAGAAAACAGCCCATCAATATGACAAAGACAGTACCTTGGGTCCTGGCAGCCCTGGTGGACCAGGAGGTCCCTATTGAAAAAGGAAACAAAAAACCAAGTTACTTAAAACCAGTTTACAAAACCCTGTAGAAAAAAAAAACCCAACAATGTTGTAGCTTTGATTCCTGTGAATTATCTCCATGCTGACAAGGCACCTTGCCTGCCTTTGAAAACTCATGCTATTCAACATCACAAATATGTAAGAAACTTCCCTTAGGTGAGACCATAAAATGAAATTAAACAGTCAGGTATTAAAACATCATAGTCTAAATAAGCTAAATCTTGTCTCATGTTTTACATTAAGAAGCTTGCACAATGATTCAGCACAACTTAAAGCAAAGAGATTTCTGGGAACAGGCTGTTTCAGAAGCGTGTTATTTAAGATGCACAGTAACAGCTCCAGGCTGAACTGAATGCAAGCTTGCTGCTGTCCTCACCAAGTCCTGACTACCATGATCTCTGCACTTCATTGACTGCCGCTGAGAACCTGAAATGAAGCAGTAACTGTCCTATTTAAGGCTTAATGAACAACAGGTTAAAGAAGCTTACCGTCAAACCTGGGGGCCCTGGAGGGCCAACTGGACCTGGTATTCCCACGGAGCCAGGGGGGCCCTGTTGAGGAAGGGGAAGAGGCCATGAGAGGCACCTTTTTTATGAAAAAGAACCCAGTGAGAGCTTTAAGTTCAAATAACCCCAACAGCTGGCATCCCATACATATCAAATCAATGTAGCTACCACTACCCTACCAATCTGTCCTTGGGGAAAGGCCTAAATGAGTGTACATCATGTTAGGAGAGTTCTGCGCTTAACATCAATGCATCTCTTTGGCTCAGATAAGAGAATGCTTTTTGGTTTGTTTTCAACTACTTTTGCACTTTCTTTCTCTTCATGCACTGAGAGAGAACAACAAAACACTTTGTATTTGTGATTCCTCCCAGCCAGAAAGAGACAATAGGGAAGCACAGATCAGAGGAGCAGAAATGCTAACAGGCTAACAGGCTCAGTCTGGTCACCGAATGGCATGGGGCTTGCCTCTCTGTCCCAGGAAATGGGGGCCTGGCTCCTGCCCAGCTCAGACCGATAGACTCATTTTCGGCTCCCCTTGTTCTTGCACTAAAGCAATGAATGGCTCAGTGGGGAAGCACAGGGCCTGGAGTCACTAGCTGTTTTCACAGAGCACTGCTGGGAGAGCAGAAACACTGCTCAGGAGGTGCAACATGAGGAGAACAGCTGAGGCATTACCCTCTCCTTCCCACCATCCAAAACAGCAGCTACAGCCAGAAAGCCAGATGGGACCGACTCAGGGTAAAGAAGGGAAGGAACTCCAGAAATGATACAAATGATGTCTAGGAAGGGGGAAGAGGCAGGAAAAGCAGAGAAGCAAAGCAGTAACTGAGTATTGCTGTCTGCTAGATACCACCTTCCTGACCAGGGGACCTTTCTGGCTTCTGTGGGTCACCCTATTAAGAGCAATATGCAATCACACACTTTCCCTCAAGCCATAAATCAGAGGTACATTAAATGTGAGCCCTGCACCTCCAAAAATACATATGAATCCCCAAGCATCAAGTTGCCAATTTTCCTGTAATAAGAGTACTTTTCATGTTATCTTTTTGGCAGAACACAGCCTAATAACACTTCATGCAACTTACAGGTATCCCTGGAAGACCTGGAAATCCTGGGTCACCTTTCTGTCCTGGCAGCAAGGATGTAATTATTTCACCTGCTTCACCCTAGAAAAATACAGTTGACTTTATTAACAATACATTTTACAATTCCTTACAACCATTTTGGCTCCAAAGGGCACAGAGTGGCCCCTAAGACTCTAAGCTATGCTACACCCTAGCAGTAAACTTTCATATAAGCACTAGATTCTCCAAGAATAGTTCTGTTTAGGAGAGATGAAGACTCTAAACAGCTAAACTAACAACTATTAAAAGATTTAATTTGTACAAAGATAGCAGCATTGATTTAAATTCCAAAAGATTAGGGGATTGAAACACCAATTCTTCACAAAAGAAACATTCCAGCTTCACGTGAAAGCAGTGGACAGGACACAACAGAAAAAAGGCTCATTCAGCTTTTTCCAATGTCCCAGCCCATGACATTAGTGCTGAGTGTGCTGTTACAACAATTATGCTTTGTGGTCCATATTGAAGTAGTTTCTTATTGATTTCAGGGAATATCTTTGTTTTGAAAGTATATGTTCTAATGAGATTATCCTTTAATATCTTGAAAACAACTGGGAAAAGGAGCTAAGAAAGATAATTCAGCTTTGAAGTCCAAATTTTCCAGTACCAGTGTTATGCTGTCCTCTCAGGACATGTCTAACAGTGTAATTCTGTGGGTCAAGTTTCCTCCTAAATAGACCTCAAGCATGGGCCAAAACTGATGCTTTGGCCCATGCTTGATTGGTCAAAGGTACAACAAAACTCAAAAAATAAAAGGTTCAACATCAGATCAAGAGACTCTAAATTAGGAGAAAATGCCATCTCTGTAACATGTAGAATGCAAAAAGACATTTTCAAAAGAAAAAAAGATGTTGTACTATTCTTGTTACTGGGTATTTTAGGTCACTATTGTTTAGTCTTTAGGAGTGTTTTGAGTATGCACAGGCAGACTTATGGCGCATTTGGGTATTTGTAGGCATTCTGTTAACTTGATGCCTCAACACTGACCCTTCACAGGCCCAAGGGAACAGCTTCAGGAAACACTCTGCTACTTCTTGAGCTACTGACCCAAACAAAGCCACTGCAGAATTTCCAGTTAGCTGCACTGGAGTGGCCTGGACACAGTCTTGCATGAAACAAGCAGGTTACTCATGGCAGATCCCACTGCACATCCATGTCTGGTAAGTACCTGGATGTGAGAGTACAGCACACTCACCTTCATACCTGGCAGCCCAGGGGGTCCCTTTGTTTAAAAGAAACACAAAAAAAAATTGAGATCAATAGAAATAAATCAATGGTATGTTGTTTGCAAACCACTAATCAGATCTACACCATGAGGCAAACATTAAAGACAGAAACTTATAACAACATATGGAAAAGGGGAAAATAAAATTTTAATGAACTTCAGAATCAAATGGAGAAATTAGAGAACTTTCATAGAGAATGTTGAGCATTAGAAGGATTATATTTACCTTTCTTAGCAATTTGTTTCTATGTTGCCTCCTGTTATCCATCCTGTCTACTACATCTGTTTGTACTTTGGTTCTGACAGTCACTTGGCTGTATCCTTGTGCTTTATACATAAAACACCCTACCCTTTATCTTTTTGCTGACCTATTAATCACCAGTAATACTCTTCAGATATACAAGATCTTCTTCTCTGACACATATGCATGTATTTGTATTTTTCTGCAGGTGGTAAAGCATCTCAGCATGTGAGAATTCAAAGTGGTTTTTAAGCTTTACCACAGCATGCCGCAGAAAAACTCACTTTCATTGGACATTTAAAATGCTCTGATTAAATATTAAAAATAAAATTCTATCTATTAAAAGAAAAACTGCAAAAAGAGACTGATATTTATCTTATTTTTCACAGTAGAAGTCTTTCAGTGGATTATAAGATTGGGTAATCTTTTACTTACAGGAGGCCCTTGTAAACCAGGAAAACCTGGACTGCCTGGGAATCCACGCTCTCCCTTAGGGATGAAGAAAATGATTAGCCAACACCAAACCAAAACATAACAAAACCAGATAAACAAATTCTGATTCAAAAGTCTAGTTTGTTAGTTTATGACTCCAGAATAGAAAATTCTATTGGAACAAGATAGAATAATCACTTAGTTAATTCACACAATGGATGGAAACAAATTTCCACAGTCAGGTGTTTCTGCATACTTCCAGGCAAAGCACTACACTACAGAGATGGAAAACTCACAGAATGCTACAGAAAATCAACTCCTCCTCTGGGAAAATCCCAACATGGAGCTAAGCAGCACATCAGAATGAAATTTCTCCCTCCAATATAAACACTGAATCAGTATTTTCAATATAATATTAAAAATTAATAATTAAAAAGTCTCACTGTTAAGTAATGAGTTTTTCTTGGTAGCATGAGTCTACTACAATGATGAGACACAGCATCTGAGGTAATTATCAGACACCTCTCAGCTGCAACTTATACAAGTGAGGATTAGAACCTGGAGTTTAACTACAATGGCTGCAGAGCACACAGTGTGGTGTCTTGGTGCTGGCAATTTCTGGCAAAGCTTATGCTTTAAGTACCAGATCATGACCCCTACTCTCAATGAATTATCTTGGAATTACCTTCACAACTCAGTAACAGCAAGTACTGTTGCACACAACAGTCTAAATTCATTTGGTACAGCCAGGAGAACAAGAGCTTTTTACTATATTATTGTTGCATTAAGATTTTTTAATGAATTCCACCTTTGTTCCATTGCATCCTGGGATACCCTGAGGTCCTGGTGGCCCATCTTGTCCTGGCAATCCCTTCAAAGTAGAAAAGGGAAAGAAGAGTTAAGAGTACAAGATGCTTTTCTGGGCTTGAAAGACAAAAGGGAACAGATTTGTGTCTACAGAGCCCATTGCTACTCACAGGAAGTCCTGGTGTTCCTGGAAAGCCGGGAAGCCCTGGCGGTCCCTAGAAGGAAATTAACCATGTGTTTGAAATAGTACCGTATGAATGGGTGTGCAAAAGGATTTACCAAGATGTCATTAAATATAATTTATTTGTGCAGATATAAGTAAAGACAGACAAACATCCAAATCACCTCTACAAAAAAAAGAATGCCATGCTTACATGGCATTCAAAGTCCTTACCAATCTTTCAGGGAAATAGCCATAAAAACATAGAAAAGACAATGCAAAATTACTGAAGTAAGAGATTATGGATATGAAGAGAAAATAAATAAACACTTGTGGTGTAAAAAATGGATGCAGCCCAATGAAGTCAGATGTATCAATTATTACCAGCTGAGGCATCTGACAGAAAAAGCAAAGGCACAAAATCTAAAGGACTTCCAGACAAGTCCACCTTTCCTGTATGGACTGTATACCTACTGCCTCTACTTCAGAATACACTGAAACGAAAGTACTGGCACTTGCTTGGGTCCTGTATTGTAAAGCAAATCAAATGAGTATTGGGGCTGCTCTCCCTAAACAGTTCATGAAATGCAAACAATATGTAAGATAGTACTGCTCATGCAATCTTGCATATTATAAAAAGCAGTACAATCTCTTCTGGTGAGTAGATGACTTCAGATTTAAGTGAATTTTTTTTTCTTGTCAATCACCACTTCTGTTAGGACCCACCCAATGCCTGTTGGTTTTTATCATTATTCCAACATATCACGCTAACACTGCGTCCATACTCACTCTGATTCCTTTCGGTCCAATAGGCCCTGGAAGACCATCATCACCCTAAAAGACAACAACAGAAACAAACAAGATCCCACATTCAAGCTGCAGTTTGTGTTTCTATCAAATTAATCAGTAAGCCTTAACTTTCTCCTACATGTTCACAGTAAGTGGGCTAAAAGTTATAGTAGTTGTCATTTCCTGAGTCAAAGGGCTCAAAATGATTTTAACTTAAAGTATTTGTTCCAGCTGACTAACCATGCCTTAGAGGAAAGTTTTCCTAGAGGCCACGGTGCTGTCAGGTCCCTGACACTGAGGGTCAGCCCTGCCATGGAGCATCCTCCAGCGGCCCCTTGTGGGCAGAGCAGGGCGGCCACGATTCAACACGGGTCGGAGTGTACCAGTATTACCTTGCATCGAGATCATCACCGAATCACAATGCAGAACTCTGCATCGAAATCTTAAGACAATGCGTTAAAGGAATAAAAGTGTAGCAAAGTTTCTAGTCCAAGACCTCTGGGCTGTTTCACTCTTGTTATATCTAATCAACCTTCTCTTTCAGTGTATACCTCCTCTATTTTTTTCTTATCACCTGCCTATTTTTTCCTTTGCTTCTTTTTTATGTACTTCTGTTAGGTTTATACTATGAGCATTCATAAAAGAAATGGCAGATCCTGGCTATCGTTATGTATGTTAAAGGTAAATATATTCAGAATTATATATGCTGAATTACACCATCTGAGTTAAGGATGCAATCCAGTAGTAAATAGAAGTAACTGGAAGCCCTCCAGGGAAAGCCAGGAGCATTCCTCAGCTCTCTGCACATGGGTTCAATGAGGCCCTCACTTGCATCACCCCACCCAAACCCAGCCCAGGAATCCCATCCCAGGAATGCCACCAGGTGCAAACAACAGTTTACCTACATGGTGGGAGCCCCAGGGCAGCTGAGAGCAAAACTCTGCTCTTATCAGTAAACTCAGCCAAGCCGGGATCTCCTTAGTGCAAGGACTAACAAAGCTGCATCACAGCACCTGCCAAACCTGTTCTCTGTCCCTCCTGGGCAGCACCTAGTGAAAGGCAGTGCTGCCAAGCACCTGTGCAGGTGAAGAACTGCATAGGAAACTCAGAGCAATCTTTTTCCACTGGCCGACTATTCAAACTAATCAACCAAAAAACCTGTTATATCCTAACAGCTGAAGATTTTACCTATTAAACCAATGATAATCAGGAGTTCTGGAATTGCTTAGGATCAGCACTACAATTAAGCTAACACTGCCCAGTACCTTCATACCATTCAAGTGAATTGGGACTTACCTTTGAGCCTCTTGGACCAGGTGGTCCTTCTGGTCCTGGAAATCCAGGCAAACCTGGCTGTCCTTCCAAGCCTGGGAATCCTCTTTCACCCTACAAAAAGAATAGGTGGTGGTGGAGGTGAAATAGGACATAAACAAAATATATTATAGAAAAATTTAGAACACACATTATCTTTCTGCTTTTCTGTAGGAAGTTATCACACTGACAAATTAACAGTGAATGAACATCTCAACTGCTTAACTAAAGAAATTCCTGAACACAGACAGATTTACCTTTAATTACAGCACTCAAACTGATTTCATAGGTTTACAAGTTTCCATAGGGTGTTCTGCCCTGCAAACCCAATACAAGTACTTCTGAATGCTGTAGAGCTGGTCTGAAAAGTGGAGGAGTGTTACCAGGATCTGAAAGGGTTAGTGTATCCCTGAAGGAGAGAAAATGAGGAATTCGGGAGTGCCAGATAAAGAGAACATTAGGCAAAACCAGATTTTGAAGCAAGCTCTGGCATGAACTGTGCTTGCACACTGAAAAAAACACACCAGTGTACAAGAGGCATGTCAGATGTGTGAGGGGCAAGCCAGGCTAGAGTGCTTCCTAATCTGAACCTGGTCACTCTTCTTCACGCTTTTGTTACAGCAAGCAGCACCTACAAATGGTTGCTAGAACAGACTTCTAGCAGAGGGTTGGCCTTGTGTGTCATTTGAGGCTGAAGAACTCTTGTCTCAAATGCAACTATGCCAAGGTCTCCACTCCAAACAGTCATGGAATAGGGAAGCCAAGGCCTTCAAAGAAAGAGAAAAAACATGTCAAACAGCTAAGAGGAACAGAGGAGGCAACAAGAGATGCTAGTGAACTGTAGTATTGAAACTGAAATGAGTATTTTCCAAGCCCCCTTTGAAAGTGAGCAGCAAAAAGGAGAGCATTGCATGAGGAAACTGTTGCCAGGGCAACTCCTGTGGAGTTTGCCAGCAAATTACTCCCAAAAGCAAACAGAGTATTTGAAGGACTATGACTGGGGGCAGCTGAGGGAGTACATCAGACACATCCTAAGGGAACTTACATCAAAGTTAAAATAATTACAGTGGAAATAGCTGCACTATAATCCCTATTTTTGATTTAAAAATTGGTTAAAGAAATGTGAGCAAATTTTGTGGGAAGAGAAACTATGCTGATCCAGTTCTCTCTGAGGTTTTTTTTTTAACTGTCTTCTACTTAAATAGCCTATAGATGATTCCACAAGTGACAATCATT